CGCATGGAATCGATCGATAACGGTAAAGTGTGAGTCTAAAATTGAACAAGTCGATGCCGATGAAGAATGGTGTCACGAAAAGCTGGTCGTCATTATAGAAAAGCGAAATTTGATGGTTTCAATCCTACCCACTCCTCTCTCCCATGCCTTAATCTCTTATTTTACGTTAGAGCCCAAGGATACCAATATTGGGTAATTGATTTTTCAACAGAAACCCCTGGCTTACCATTACGCAGCGTGCGACTTTGAATATCCAACGAATAAGTCTCGGAATTCAGATAATATAGATTAAGCCGAGCCTAAAAGTGGGGTTCTAGTCACTTAATTCTTCTGCCCTTCACTTCATTAGAACTCCTCACAGGTTGTTGAAGAGTCTATCTCTATAAATTTATGGACGAGTCAGGTAGATGGGGGAGAGGGGGGGGGGTTATTATATAGTCTATCGAGTAGGGGATGCAGGGAAAAGCTCGCATTTCATTTTCCGACCTCTCTTTCAAGGCTGACATTCGTTTTCTTGCCTCTCCTTCAGCTTTCTGTCCTCCGAGGGCAACGCTGAAACAAATACGCCCGCGATTAGCCAAGTAGTTATCCAAAGGGAATTCATTTCTGCTCTGTTTCTGCGAAGTTGGGAAAGAAAGAAAAATTGTTCAAATGTCGCTTTGCAATGCAACGCAGTTAAAGGCAAAGTATTTAAGAACACCGAAATCCAGCAAGTTATTTATCTATAGGCTTCTTTCTTCTCTTTTTCCTTGTTTGCACGCTATTAAATATTATGGACATCACACTCCTGCTAGAAATACGATGAACAACAGTTTTAAACGTAAGTTTTAAAAGGAAGGTTAGTTCGGGAAAGTAAATATTTTCCTATAAACTGGCGGTATAGGTTAACAGCATCACAATCCTTACCTTTTTCCCGAAACTTGTGACTTTCAGATGAAATGCTTTCTTCAAGTCTCAAACTCGAAATAATGAAAGTTGTTTTCAACTACGCCTTTATAGATCCTGTGCGATTCGTTCTCAGTGCCTAAACTCCCTTCTTGATAAAAGGAGACAAAGGAATACTTTCTGATGGATCTGTTTCTTGGCTACCAAACTTTTAACGTCTGAGGTGCCCTGTAATTTCCTAATTTCAAATTGAACATACTGAGCTAACGATAAGAAATTATTGACTAACTACAGGCGGTAAAGCTCTAGCTGTGAGATGATCATCTCGCGATCATGGGTATCATTCTCTTTCCGTATTTCAATTTAACGAAAGGAGTTAAAAAAACAATGGCAAGTGGAAATAGTCGCACACCTTCGTTAATTTCTCCCATTCGACTCGACTGTTCAATCCGAGTATATTTAAATTTCGCGCTTCGCAAGAAAAACTGAATAATCTCCTCCCACAATTTTTTTGTGTTTACACAAACCGACATCTTATTGATACCTAATCATCCTTTTGTGTGATAACAGGAGGTGAGATTGTTTTCGCATAGTCGTGTTCTGCTAGTTTCTTTTTTTTTTATTTTTTTGCTCAACGAATAATAAAGTCCTAACGTCCGCTTTCTACAAAGGGAATATTTGAGAAAACTGTTGATAGCTTTATAATTTTAATAAAGACTGTTAGAATCCGTCGTAAAACTATGTTAGTTCAAGCAAGACCTGTTTTTTTTTTCTCCGAAAGAGAATGTAAAACAAACCAAAAAAAAATTCGCAACTTCTCCATTGTGAGACTTGTGAGTAAAGATTGTTAAAATCTGCTGTAAAACTCTGATAGTTTTTAATGAGAGAGACCTACTTTTTTTGGCAAAAGATAAATAAAAAAAAATTATTTTTGGAATTTGCGAACCTTTGGCTCGATGCGCTAAACGAGGGTCAAGTCTACCCTTGGGTACACCGATGGAGATTGATTTTACTAGTGCATATTTACACTACCCACTCCCCCATTGCAGCAAAATTGTCATTCCGATAATTTTTTCGATCAGTTACGAGCTTTTCCGCCTCCCTTCGGCCAAAGTCCCTCAGGACTACCAATTACTCAGGACTCTTGTTTGATGCTTGAGGGACAAGTTGACCCGGAACAATTGGCCATTTCTTGATACGTTGGCTACCAAACTATTAACGTCTGAGGTGCCCTGTAATTTCCTAATTTCAAATTCAACATTCTGAGCTAACGATAAGAAATTATTAAATAACTACAGGCGGCAAAGCTCTAGCTGTGAGATGATCATTTTGCGGCATGTGAGTCATGGCGAAATCATAGGAGTTTGTATGGGAATATTTACGACCGTTCTTAGGAATACGTACTTACATAGTAAACCTAGAAATGGATGACTCGCTATCCGATCAAAATAGTAAGCGGTCAGATAACAAGCAATGCACTGAAAAAATTAAGGTGAGGTATTTTTAATGAGAATTTGACTGTATTTTTTTTATTCCTAAAAGTGGTCGTAAATATTCCCATACAAACTCATATAATTTCGCAATTACTGTGTAAACCCGTTCCTTTGATGTGATTTTTACTCGATCGTGCTCCTCAACTCTCCCCTGCATATCAAAGGAACGGGTTTACAGGAAAATTAAATCAATTGATCTAGACACTTTTCGAAATGATCTTGCAGTTTCTGAACTGTGCCAAGGAACCCACAAGGAGTTAAATGAGCTTGTTGAATGCTTCAATAAGACATTGACATTTGTTCTTGAGAAACAAGCTCCGCTTCAAAGAAAAATCATTCACCAAAGGCAACGCGTACCGTGGTATAGCGATCAGATTTTAGCGGCAAAAAGGATGAGAAGAAAAGCAGAAAGAAAATGGCGCTCATCAAATTCTACACACGACCTAAAAGAATACAAATCTGCAAGAAACTTCGCTACTAATTTTATTTAAAAAGCACGTTCTGACTTTTACGAAAACCTCATTCAAGAAAACAGTTTGGATGAAAGAAAGCTCTTTAAGATCTCGAAGCAATTGTTAAATCAAAGCTTCGAAGTTCCGTTTCCTCAGCACGTAAGTAAATCGATGTTAGCAAATGAGATGGCTAATTTACAATATCACACATGACCAGTCGACCTCATCGCCTGAAAAAGACTAGCAGTATGCAGTCGAAACGTTTCGATCTACATCACACTTGACTACATCGTGAGACAAACGAAAAATTTGGCTTTTATTGTTATTCTCCACGATGAATAACCACAACCTTTCCTATGAAAATGATAATAAATGATAAATAAGAAAATAAACGAAATAAAAACTCTACTACGAATTAAAAGCTTGTTTAAAAAGATATGTTTTCACATGACATTTAAAATTTGACAGAGAGTCAAGGCTAGTCAGGGTTTTGTCGCCTTTCATATCTTCTTCAAAACAACCGCTACCATTCTCAACACGGTGTCCCAAAAAATTAACTTGGAAAAGACTATATAGAACACTCCTTCCATAAAGACAATTCAGTTTCGTGTTAGAACTTTCCGACCCAATAAGTCAATAGGCGTATTGATTCGAGGTCCTTTTTTTTCTTATAGAGATTGATCTGAAATAGTTACAATAATTACAAATAATAGAAAAATAGGTAACATTTTTAAAAGATACAGTATTCATGTGCAAGTTAGTCTGTCTGGGGTTTCTGATCAAGTGATCAGCGTGAGGGAAAAGAAAGAAGTTTTTTTTTCAATACAGTTATGTCATTTCACCCAACCCTTTGATGTGGCCGGCACTTTCGTTCTCATTCCTTGAAGTTGCATAAGGGCAGGATTTTCGAGAAAAAAAAACACGGTGTCCCAAAAAGAAAAAACTCCTTCCATAAAGACAATTCAGTTTCGTGTTAGAACTTTGACCCAATAAGTCAATAGGCGTATTGATTCAGGTCCAAATCTGAAATAGTTACAATAATTACAAATAATAGAAAAATAGGTAACATTTTTAAAAGATACAGTATTCATGTGCAAGTTAGTCTGTCTGGGGTTTCTGATCAAGTGATCAGCGTGAGGGAAAAGAAAGAAGTTTTTTTTTTCAATACAGTTATGTCATTTCACCCAACCCTTTGATGTGGCCGGCACTTTCGTTCTCATTCCTTGAAGTTGCATAAGGGCAGGATTTTCGAGAAAAAAAACTTCGTAGAAAAGGTAATAAAACTTGAATCCCACAAACATTCTTTTAAAAACCCTTGAAGGCAATTTTTTATAACGGGTGTTTCAATCTGCGAGAACAGATTCGCTTTCAATTGAAAAACTTCAAACTATCTTGGTTCGAATTTTTACCAAAATCAGACATTTTGAAGTTGTCTAAACTTCTTTATCAAGTCAACGATAATGGAATTAGATGCAAATATGTCTTTCTACGCTGAAGTACTCAGTGTCGAGACGTTACACTTCGTACGAAATCAATTTCTTTTCATTTATTCCACAGGTGGCTCAAGCTCCAGCTGTGAGATGATCATCTTGCGAAATAAGAGTAATGGCAAAATTATATGAGTTTGTATGGGAATATTTACGACCGCTTTTAGGAATAAAAAAAACACATACAGTCAAATTCTCACTAAAAATACTTCATCTTCTACAATGCATCGCTTTTAATCTAACCGCTTACTATGCTGATAGCGAGTAATCCATTTCTAGGTTTACTACGTATGCACGTATTCCTGAGAGCGGTCGTAAATATTCCCATACAAACTCTTGTTATTTCGCCATAACTCTTACTTCGCAAGATGATCATCTGACAGTTGGAACTTGGCCGCCTGTAGTTATTTAATAATTTCTTATCGTTAGCTCAGTATGTTCAATTTGAAATTAGGAAATTACAGGGCACCTTAGACGTTAATAGTTTGGTAGCCAAGAAATAGATCTATCAGAAAGCATTCCTTTGTCTCCTTTTATCAAGAAGGGAGTTTAGGCACTGAGAACGAATCAAACAGGATCTATAAAGGTGTAGTTGAAAACACCTTTCATTATTTCGAGTTCGAGACTTGAAGAAAGCATCCCATCTGAAAGTCACAAGTTTCGGGAAAAAGGTAAGGATTGTAATGCTGTTAATCTTTACCGCCAGTTTATCGGAAAATATTTACTTTCCCAAACTAACCTTCCTTTTAAAACTTCTGTTTTAAACTGTTGTTCATCGTATTTCTAGCAGGAGTGTGATTTCCACAATATTTAATAGCGTGCAAACAAGGAAAAAGAGAAGGAAGAAGCAAATAGATAAATAACGTGCTGGATTTCAGTTTTCTTAAATACCTTGCCTTTAGCTGCGTTTCATTACCAAGCGACATATTAACGATTTCTCTTTGTCTCCCAACGTCGCAGAAACAGAGAAGAAATGAATTCCCTTTGGATAACCACTTGGCTGCTCGCGGGTGTATTTGTTTCAGCGCTGGCCACGGAGGACAGAAAGCTGGAGAAGAGGCAAGCTGACGAATGTGACCCTTCGAAGACAGGTCAGCAAATAAAATGCAAGCTTTTCCCTGGATCCCCCACTCTTTGATAGACCATACAATTACTCCCTCCCATCTACCTGACGGGTCCATAACTTTATATAGATAGACTCTTCAACAGCCTGTGAGAAGTTCTAATGAAGTGAAGGGCAGAATAATTAAGTCACTGGAACCCCACTTTTAGGCTCAGTTTAATCTATATTATCTGTTCGTTAGATATTGATAGTCGCACGTTGCGTAATGGTAAGCCAGAAGTTCTTGTTGAAAAATCAATTACCCAATATTGGTATCCTTGGGCTCTAACGTAACTTAAGAGATTAAGGTATGGGAGAGAGGAAGGGGGTAGGATTGAAACCATCAAATGATGTTTTTCCTATCGATAATGACGACCAGCTTTTTGCGACCCCGTTCCTCTTCGTTATCGACTTGTTCAATTTTAGACTCGCACTTTATTGTTATCGATCGATTCCATACGAGAAAGATTGTGATGTAATTTCAGAATCATTGTTACAAACGATGTGCACCTCGCCGTGCATTTCATGCTAAACATAACATCAGTAATTGAATTGAAGTTATAATTTCCAAGAAGCTCTTGATTTTGATGGCAAAAGGTCGTTCCTCGCTCTCGACGCGGCAGTTGTCTAATGGTTCTCTTTTTATCCTCTCCGCCGGGTGATAGCTCCAGCATAGTCAGCATAAATTGCACAGAGATGCTTTAATTCACTGCAACTAAACGCAATTGTATTTACCTTTTAGACAAAGTCATGGTGTTACCAGGCCCAATCACGGATTATGCAATGAAAGAAAACGCTATCGTGTACAATCTGGATGCTATTACAGTCTGCATGATTGCAAACTGGAATACTCACCATGTGGAAACTCACGAAAATCAACATGTGTTCAGTTACGCTGTCCCAGGATCAGACAATGAATTGACTCTCCTCACAAGTCCCACCTCCCGAGTGCTCCTCCATGGCGTCGGCAGGTTTAGTCAGCTCTGTGCTAATTTACCTTATAGGAGTAGAACGGCATCGCAATAGTCAAATATAATGTAACTCCTTCTCTTCGCTTCTGGAAAAATCCTTGGAATATCTCTCTCAAACTTTTCATTGTATGTAAGCAAGGATGAAACTGCTCTATCTTTTATCAGGATTAACATTTTGAGGAGGCGGAGGGAAGAGGCAATTCCATGTTTCAAAAAAGCATTTCCACCAACTTTTATTGAATGTATCATAGTTCACGTTTTTTTTTTCTTATTTCTAATTTCTTTTCTTTTGCTTCTTTTCGAAAGGGATGGTAACCGAGGCCTCCCTAGTGATGGAAATTTTCACCACTTCTGTTTTACATGGAGCAACACAAACGGAGATTATCAATTCTGGATAGATGGGGAGGTTGTCGGGAAAGGCTCTGGCCTAGAAAAGGGAGGCATGATTAAAAAGGGAGGTACTGTGGTCGTTGGACAAGACCAAGACAAAGTTGGAGGAGACTTCGACCCAGAACAGTCCTGGATCGGTGAAGTGTCTGGAATGAATGTATGGGGAGTGGTTCTGTCAGAAAGTGACATCGTAGCTGAGTACCACGATTGTCACGTGTTTTCAGGATCCGTGGTTAGGTGGTCTCAGTTGTATGCCTGTGAAAGTCTTCATGGCGATGTTTCAGTTTATCCTTAAATTCTGTTGAAAACACTCTCTGGTAGCACTAATATGAAATAAATGTCAATTGCCAGGTCTAGTCTCAATTTTTTCGTTTTAGTTTGGAGCTTTACACTAGTTGTCTGATTTCTTCAAACCTGAATTTCTTTCCATTTCACATTACCACCATTCCTTTATTCGACCCTTTATACCGCTGTAAATACTTTTTGCGAGGATTTCTCAAACCTATAGCATTTAAAGACACAAACTGAACTTGCTGTTCTTCTTGCATAACGCCGCATTCATTTTCGAGACGGAATATTATATTCCAGGTGTGCTTGTCCCTTTTTAAGCAAAAGCATACCTTAAAGTATTTAGCACGTAAAGGTGATCATACAAGGAAAGTTGTATTGTTTATGCCGAATTTTCCTTCCTCCCAAATAACTTCTAAATTAAAATCAGTTCCTCAGAGCTCCATTAGTGATTTCCTCCAGAGATTTCATCTAACGAGGGTTACATGTTGGGGACGTTATAATGAAAATCTTCCGTCAAGTGACCACACATTGTGTCCTTTTTCAACTGCCAGGCTTATCATTTTGCTGGGATGGGGTCAGATTTTCGTTGATGTAAATTCCTTTCGGGCGTTTCACTTCCTCTCGCTAAACATGGAATCCCATACAACAAGAGTTTCTGAATAGACACAGACGTTTTTAAATTGATGCGGGCTTTCTTAACCCTTGCCTTTACCTTGTGACTCTCAAAATTTCGCAAGGACTGGTGGAACTTACTTTGTGTTCTATGTGAGGCCTCAACGGCCTCGCATAGAACACTTCTTGGAACACTGAATACTACTTGGCCCGTTGACATGTTTACTTCCTGTTGTATACCATGAAATTCCAAGGAGTTCTTTTTAGAATATTGTGACCAGGCACTTTTCATCCAATTCGTCTATAACTGTTCGTCAACTTCTGAGAAAGACGCCTTTCCACGTGTACACTAAAAATCATCTCATCAGGTGGACTGCGCGCAGTTCTTTTTATTAAATTTCTCTCGGAAGTTAATTACTTAACGATACAGCTGTCATACAATACAGGAAAAAAAAAACGCATCATGGATCTTGTTTTAAGCACATGTTTTTCTCTCGACGCCCAAACTCACTGTGTCCTCGGTACTAATACTCAATACAACCTCTCTTCAGCAAGAAAGCAATCTTCACTGACTTTTACACTTGAACTCCTCTCGGTGTCTGAAACTTGTCTTTGTTTCTCTTCCATGACTTAAGGGCTCTTTATTGACGACGCCAATGACGACGGGATTACGACGTAGTTGTCACAATCATTCAAAGTAATTTACATAAAGACCTGCTATTCTAATGCTTTACTAGCTGCATTTTCAAGTGAATCAACTGAAGTAAGTTGTTCACTAAATATTTCACAACATTAGAATTTGGGAATCATTCGTCAATGATAGTAACTGAGGGTTGTGCGGGAATAAATAGTTCATCACAGGTCAATGAAGACTTTGGCAATCATTGATAATGACCATTACTTTAATCGAAGAAAAGCTATTAAAAATACTCGACTCAATTATTTTAGATTCTATCTAGTGTTATGTTAAAGCCACGATGTAAGGTATCGTGGGCTCTTTAATATACTGATACCATACCGCACCCTGAAAACCGTACCAAAAACACGTGTGACTTTCCATTTTTGCCTACAGTAATTTACTTTACACCTAATTTCCATTTCTTCTTCACGACCACTTCCCTTTACTCTCCAAAGTTCTTTGTAAGTCGTTGTTGCAGACATTCATAATTGTTATTTTACACATCAAAGGGTACTCGTACTTCTGAAGCCGTTTCCTGTTTCATGCTTGCAAAGAATGAAGGACTTTTATTCATTAAGGATACGTCTGTGCGGAAGCGATACACTCAGAAGTAATGGTCTGTGTCAAGACAGTTGCTATGTAAACAATATATACTATGGCAAAAATATATTTAAGGTGGGCTTACTGAAACCGTGGTTATTCTTTCTTTGCGTTCAGGTTTAGCCGTCTCATTGCTGTCTGTTACTGCAAAGGAAGATGTGGCCCCTATTTGCTCATTTTGTATAGTTTATTTGTGCAAACTCGCCTGGTAAGTATTTTTCTTACTTCTAGAGCTGAATGTGTACATCCAAGGTTAACAAAGAGGCTTGATTTATTCTGTGTTCAAGACGTCATAGTTTAAAGTTGGAAAACAGATCGAGAGAGTCGACAATAACAACTTCCGCACAGGTTTCAAGGCGAAGACAATCACGAATGAAACGTATTTTGTGTCAACTGCAGGTTAGAACTGACTGACTGTGTACCTGTAATTTAACCCCAACCTTCAGCTCAACTTACTTGCATTTACTACATTCATAGCTGAGGTAACTGCCATTGTAACTGCCCAAACGGATGCGTGGTAGTGACTACGAGACAGTGAAAACAGTACTTATTTTTAAAACTCCTATCTCGGCAAAGTACATGTTACTGAAACGCAGGGTGCGAGTCACTCAAGACTGTGATTCTCTTCTTATGTTTACATGGAGGCACTGATCCTTTGTCTTTATCCGAGGAACAATCATTGCACTGCACTGCATGGGCTATGTCAAAATACGTCCATATATATTGCTCGTTGAGAATCACTTTTAATTTACGTAACGGTTGTCTCGGACATGGACTTTCTTGCTTTCAAATTTTCTTTCTAGAGAAATATCGCGTTAAATCTTTGCTATTGTCGACCACTTTGAGAACTTGTTCAAAACATAGCTCTTGATCATGAGATGATCAAAAATCATTGGACATTCTGATCTTTCAAGAAATAGTAACCACAGCGATCCAAAGGCGTATGTTCCCTAGTTTATCCTTATTTCGCCGATATCTTAAGTCCATCAGTTATATATCGCATTTTGAGGCTGAATGAAACCTTCGACGAACATTCTCGCCCGGATTCATTTTTAATTTTGCTTGCGCGTGCGTCCATGTGAAAGGTCCTATACTGAGTTAATTTGGAACAACCTCAGCTGGCAAGGCTGGCTTACGCACATTTGTGAGATGAAGTGTACCATTGAAATTTGCGTAACAGCAAAGTTCCTGGAGATGTTTATGAGTTCTAAAATCCCGCGGCACTTGATGCTTTATTGACCCTTACTATTTTGCATGACATATTTGATACGCACTATTGTAGCAACCATTGTTTTGAGGGAGCCTTTTACCAATTCGATGTTGTAACGGAAGCCGGTCGTTATAAAGGATTGACGCAATCAGACTTCATTAATCACAAAAGTGCATCATTTTTCTATGCATGATAGCACATGAAATCTAGTATGCTTCTGATAGCAATCAACAAGTGACCTTTGATGCAAGCTTGCTTTGAAGAGAAAATACAAAGTCTCGATAAAGACATGTTAAACTCGTTCTTGGCAAAGAATCTCATGATTAATTTGAAGCAAACATTCAACTGAAAAGCTGCACTTAGAACTTTATGAGTTGAGATGAAGAGGATACATAAAGCTAACCGATAATTGGGTGCCTCTTTCGCACAACTGATTTGCCCGCAGAGTAGCAGTTTAAATTCGTCAAAGAAAAAGTGCAGTAAACTTAAATTATTTTGAACTTTTATAACTTTTAGTTATTTATTTATTTATTCATTTATTTTTAGCAGTGGCGGGACAGCAAACAATATAACACATTTAGCAGAGTATCAACTAAGGAAGACTCTCCTCTCTTCTTATGACAAAATGGTTCGTCCGGTGTCGGAGCCGTCAGATGTTGTAAAAGTCGAATTTGATATGCAGCTCCTGGCAGTGGTAAGCGAAATCTTGCACGATATCTCCGGATAATGCATTCCTCGTCAACTGCAATGAACTTGTATCGAAAACCCATTGAGGCTAATATAAGAATGAGAAGGCGTAAATAGAGATACTATTTTCTTGTGGTTTCCCTGTGGAGTTACAATACAGGGAAACCCACGTCAAGTCGCGCATCCTGCCACGGGGTGTGTTATATGCTGGTCAGCCCCACACCAAGTGATATAACTCACATTTATTAGTTTAAGATAATTTTATTGATCTTTTTATTTATTTATTTTTTTTAATCTGTGTCATTGAATAGCACATCAGCGTTAAAAAAAAATGAAACATAGTTTGAATATATCTCCATACTGTAAATACTGCTATACCTCCTCAAAGGCAGGGAATTTTGTACCAATGGAAATATGCGATCAATAAGAGAATTGTTCCTAGAAATGAACCTTTTAGGTATGCTGATAATTTTTGAACCTCAACATTTAAGCCTTAGCATCTGCATCAATTGTGCCTCTACTCTCGATCACCTTTGAAGGTAAAATATTCTTTCCTAATCACACAATATTTTCATGTCACACAGGACAATAAAGAACAAACCATTACAGCAGAAACGATGATCACGCAGGTACGCTATGGTTTAATTTTAGAAAGTGCAACCTTACCAAGAGCCAAATGGATATATTAACCCTTTACTGTATTGCTGGCGTCTACGTGAATCTCGAGTGGTAGTTTTGAAGTTATTAAGACACATTTCTTGTGACTAATCGTGGAAAAAGGGGAAGGGAGGGTATGAAACCTCGGCTGTCTCAAAAATTCAAAAATGCGCAATTTTTAAAAGACGGGGATTCTCTGAAATGTATTCAAATTTTTTATCGATAAGGAGTGAGAGTGTGTAAGTAGGATACATTTCATATTTATTAATGAAGAAATGTAAAATGGTAAATAATGTTTCAGTCATTATTTTACAGGTATATTCCGGTGTTTATCACGAAAAAAATATGGAACAGGACTGAGGAAAATAACTTAGAAACAACAATCGTAACACAACGCTGAGCACGATTCTCAGAATGTTTTTGTAATATATATTCAACACTCTGCCTTCAAGAATTTCCATAATAAACGTTTTGCTTATCAAATAACATTTTTCAGTGAAGAAAAACTGCTTTGCAAATCTTTAGGAATAGGCGAAATTGCAAGAGCAATAGAATGAGTAGTCAGGATTTCGAAGCCAGGGTTTCATTTTAATAGAAAAATAGGTAAAACTTTTAAAAGATACAGTATTCATGTGCAAGTTAATCTGTCTGGGGTTTGTGATAAAATGATCAGCGTGAGGGCATAGAAAGAGGTTTTCTTCAATACAGTTATGTCATTTCACCCAACCCTTAGATGTGGCCGGCACTTTCGTTTTCCTTCCTTGCAGTGCATAAGGGCAGGATTTTCGAGAAAAAAACTTCGTAGAAAAGGTAATAACATTTTAATTCTATGAACATTTTTTTTTTAAAACCTTAAGGGAAATTTTTTACTCGAGTTTTTTTATTTCGAATGTGTGATTTCCACAATATTTAATAGCGTGCAAACAAGGAAAAAGAGAAGAAAGAAGCAAATAGATAAATAACGTGCTGGATTTAAGTTTTCTTAAATACCCTGCCTTTAGCTGCGTTTCATTACCAAGCGATATATTAACAATTTCTCTTTGTCTCCCAACGTCGCAGAAACAGAGCAGAAATGAATTCCCTTTAGATAACTACTTGGCTGCTCTCGGGTGTATTTATTTCAGCGCCGGCCACGGAGGACAGAAAACTGGAGAAGAGGCAAGAAAGCGAATGTCAGCCTTGGAAGACAGGTCAGCAAATGAAATGCAAGCTTTTCCCTGGATCCCCCACTCTTTGATAGACCATACAATTACTCCCCCCCATCTACCTGACTGGTCCATAACTTTATATGGATAGACTCTTATACAGCCTGTGATGAAGGGAAGGGCAGAGGAATTAAGTCACTGGAACCCCACTTTAAATTAATTACCCAATCTTGGTATCCTTGCGCTCTAACGTAACTTAAGAGATTAAGGCATGGGAGAGAGGAAGGTGGTAGGATTGAAACCATCAAATGATGTTTCGGTTATCAATAATGACGACCAGCTTTTTACGACCCCATTCTTTATCGGCATTGACTTGTTCAATTTTAGACTCACACCGTTATCGATCGATTCCATGCGAGAAAGATTGCAATGTAATTTCAGAATCATTGTTAGAAACGATGTGTACCTCGCCGTGTATTTCATAATAAACATAACATCAGTAATTGAATTGAAGTTACAATTTCCAAGAAGCTCTTGATTTTGATTGGAAAAGGTCATTCCTCGTCTTTGACGCGGCAGTTGTCTGATGGGTTCTCTTTTTATTCTCTCCGCTAAGTGATAGCTCTAGCATAGTCAGCATAAATTGCACAGGGGTGCTTTAATTCACTACAACTAAACGCAATTGTATTTACCTTTCAGACAAAGTCATGGTGTTACTGGGTCCCATCACGGATTATGCAATGATAGAAAACGCTATCGTATACGATCTGCATGCTGTTTCAATCTGCATGATTGCACAGTGGAATCCTCTCCATTTCGATCCCAGCCTTAATCAATGTGTGTTCAGCTACGCTGTCCCAGGATCAGACAATGAATTGACTCTTTGCACATATCCTACTTCCCGAGTGCTTATCCATGGCCAAAGGAGGTATAGTCAGCTCTGTGGTAATTTACTCAGTAGGAGTACAATAGTATCGCAATAGTCAAGTACAATGTAACTCCTTCCCTTCGCTTTTTAAAAAATTCGTACAATGTCTTTCTCAAACTTTTCAGTGTATCTAAGCGAGGATGAAACCGCTCTGTGTTTTATTAGGATTAACATTTGGAGGAGGTGGAGGGCAGAGGCAATTCCATGTTTCAAAAAGGCATCTCCCCCAACTTTGTTAGATCGTATCACAGTTCAGGTTTTGTTTTTCTAAATTCTAATTTCTTTTTTTTTCCTTGTTTTCGAAAGGGACGGTGACCAAGACATCCCTAGTGATGGTCTATTTCACCACTTTTTTCACATGTTTCACATGGAGCAACACAAACGGAGATTATCAATTCTGGATAGATGGAGAAGTCGTCGGGAGTGGCTCTGACTTTTACGAGGGAGGCACGATTGAAAAGGGAAGTACTGTGGTCATTGGACAAGACCAAGACGAAGTTGGGGGAGGTTTCGACCCGAGACAGTCCTGGCTTGGTGAAGTGTCTCGAATAAATGTACATCGTAGCTGAGTACCACGATTGTCACGTGACTCTAGGATCAGTGGTTATGTGGCCTCAGCTGTATGCTAAAAAAAGTCTTCATGGCAACGTTATAGTTTATCCTTAAATTCTGTTCAAAACAATCTCTGGTAGCTAAAACTAAAATGAAATAAATGTCAATTGCCAGATCTAGTTTCAATTGTCTCGTTTTAGTTTGGAGCTTGACTCTAGTTGTTTCAAACGGCTGTGAATATATGAAAGTCATATATTTGAACTGCGGATAAAGACGTGAAGATGAAAGCGATCTTTGCAGTAATGAAGCACTGCACCGGTATCGCAGAGGTCATGGGTTCAAATCCCGTACAGGCCTTAACTTTTTTCAGGCCTTCTTTTCACTACTGCTTAAGTAGTGTTCATTACTGCGAAGATCGCTATCAACTTCACATCTTCACTAGGTGTTTCATTTCTTTAAACCTGAATTTCTTTCCATTTCACGTTACCACCTTTCCTTTCTTCGACCCTTTCTACCCTCGTAAATGCTCTTTGCGAAGATTTCTCAAACCTTTAACATTTAAAGACACAAATTTAACTTTCTGTTTTCTTGCACAACGCCGCATTCATTTCTGAGATGAAATATTATATTCCTGGTGTGCTCACCCTTAGAAAACAAAAGCATACCTAAAGGTATTCGCTCGTAAAGGCGATCATACAAAGAAAAATGCACGAAAAAATTACAATTGTTCATATGCTTGTCAGTCTCATAGTTGTTGTGTTGTTTACGCGAATTTTCCTTTCTCCCCTGTAACTTCTAAATAAAATCAGTTCCTCAGAGCTCAATCAGTGATTTCCCCCAGAGAGTTCATCTGACGTGGGTTACCTGTTGGGGACATTGTAAAGAAAATCTTCCGTCAAGTGACCACACATTGCGTCTTTTTTCAACTGCCAGACTCATAATTTTTCTGGAATACAGGGTCGAATTTCGTTGATGTATGTTCCTTTCGGGCGTTCCACTTCTTCTCGCTAAACAAAGAACCCCATACAGCAGAGTTTCTAAACAGACACAGAAGTCTTTCAATTGGTGCGGGCTTGTTTATCTTCGCCTTTACCTTGTGACTCTCAAAATTTCGTTAGGACTGATGGAACTTACTTGCTGTTTTATGTGAGGCCTCAACAGCCTAGGCAACTTTAAATACCACTTGACCCGTTGACATGTTTACTTCCTGCGGTATACCATGAAATTCCAAGGGGTTCTTTCTAGAATATTGTCACCAAGCTCCTTTCATCCACTTCGTCCACAACTGTTCGTCAACTTCTGAGGAAGATGCCTCTCCACGTGTACACTAAAAATCATCTCATCAAGTGGACTGTGCGCACTTCTTCTCATTTAATTTCTCTCGGAAATTGATTATAGAAGTAAATTACTTAACGATACAGTTGTCGCATAAAGGCTTATTTACACGGTACGACTTTGTCGCATGCGACAAGCTTACGACAGGCCTACGATACGAATTGTATCGTGTAAATCAAACCTACCACTCGCTTACGACTGTCGTGCACGTCACGAAAAATGTCATAGGATTTTAAAACATGTTTTAGAACGCTGCGACTGTCGTGCACGTCACGAAAAATGTCATAGGATTTTAAAACATGTTTTAAAACGCTGCGACAATCGTAGCCGAAATTGATAAAAAATGACGTATTTTGTGACAAATTTCTACTGAGTTGGGGAGGAAGGTGAAATTTTCTTGCGTCAAAATGGCGGAGGAAGTCGCCTCCGGAAAGTCGAAGACCAAAGCGAAAAATACATTCTCAGATGAGGAAACAGAGAATATGATATCACTGTGGAGCGAGGAAGAGGTTCTTTTCCTTCTCTTGCAAATTATTGAAACAATGACCGCGGCCGAAACGAGTGGAATTGCACGCGATTTTGGCATGTCGTAGGTGAAAATGTCGTGCACGTGTAAATTGTCCTAAGTCATGTCGTAGGCCTGTCGTAAGCTTGTCGCATGCGACAAAGTCGTACCGTGTAAATAGGCCTTAATACAGAAAAACAAAACGCGTCATGGATCTTGTCTTTAAGCATATCTTTTTCTCTCGACGCCCGAACTTATTTTGTCCTCAGTACTAATGCTCAGTACAACCTCTCCTCAGCAAGAATACAATTTTCTCTGACTTCCATGCTTGACCTCCTCTAGGTGTCTGGAACTTGCCGTTGTTTCTCGTCCTTGACCAAAAGGCTTCTTACTGACGACGCTAATGACGACATAATTTAGTTAGAATATGTTTGACCACCTTTATATTAATTAATTTGGATGATTACGACGTAGTCGTCGAAATCATTCTAAGTAATATGTATTGATACCTGCAATTCTTATGCTTCACTAGCTGCATTTTAACCGAATCAAGTGATTCACGAAATATTTCACAACATTAGGATTTTGGGAATCGTTCGTCAACGATGAAAACTATAACTGAGGGTTGTGCGGGAATGATTGGTTCATCACATCTCAATGAAGACCTTGACATCATTTATAGTGACCATTACTTTAATCAAAGAAAAGCTATTAAAAATACTCGACCGTGCTACCCCTGATTCCATCCAGCGTTATGTTAAAGCCTCGGTTTAAGGTATCATGGGCCCTTTAATATACTGATACCGCACTGCACTCTGAAAACCAACAACACTTGTGACATTCCGTTTGTGCCAACAGTAATTAATTCTACACCTAATTTCCATTTTTTCTTCACGACCACTTCCCTTTACTCTCCAAAGTTCTTTATAAGTCGCTGTTGCAGACATTCATAATTATTATTTAACACATCAACGAGTACTCGTAATTCCGAAACTGTTTCCTGTTTCACGCGTGTATTATGGATCTGTGCCCAGAGTGTTTAAATTTAATCATGTGCGCCATGACGTCTGATAAACCTCAAGCCGTTGGCTTGAGGTTTCTCAGACGTCATGGAGTTGGCTTGGTTTCTCAGACATCATGGCGCACATGATTTTTTTTGACCGCATTTCAGTTATGAAGTAGAATTGAAACAGTTGTGAAATAAAAATTAGATTGCCCCAACACACTCCAAAAACATCCTAAAACAATGAAAACATCCACTTTTTGAAATAATTTTCCGTCTTGAGAGGGTACAAACTATTGCAGAACAGAAGCGATAAAACCAGAAGTAATGCTTTGTGTCAAGAGGTTGCTATGTAAACAATATATGATAGAGCAAAACAGATTTAAGGTGCGCCGGTTATTCTTTCTCTGCGTTCAGGTTTAGCCGTCTCATTTCTGTTTGTTACGGCAAAGGAAGATGTGGCCCCAATATGCTCATTTTGTATTGTTTATTTGTGCATACTCGCCTGGTAAGTATTTTTCTTACTTCTAGAGCTGAATGTGTACATCCAAGGTTAAAATAGAGGCTTGATTTATTCTGTGTGTTCAAGACGTTATAATTTAAAGTTAGAAAACAGATCGAGAGATTCGACAATAACAACTTCCGCACTGGTTCCAAGGCTAAGACAATCACGAATTAAACGCATTTTGTGTCAACTGCAGTTTAGAACTGACTGACTGTGGCTGCAAATTAACCCTAACCCTCAGCTCAATTTACTTGCATTTACTACATTTATAGCTGAGGTAACTGCCATTGTAACTGCCCAAACGGATACGTGGTAGTAATTGCAAGACAGTGGAAATAGTGCTTATTTTTTTCAAACTCCTATCTCAGTAAAGTACTCGTTATTGAAACTCAGGGCACGAGCCACTCAAGACTGTGATTCTCTCCTTATGTTTAAGTTCAGGCACTGATCCTTTGTCTTTATCCGAGGAGGAATCATTACACTGCACTGGGCTATGTCAAAATACGTCTATATTTACTGCTCGTTCACAATCGCTTTTAACGTAACGGTTGTCTCGGAAATGGATTTTCTTGCTTTCAAATTTTCTTTCTAGAGAAACATCGCGTTAAATCTTTGCTATTATCGACCACTTTAAGAACTTGTTCAAAACATCGTTCTTGATTATGAAATGATCGAGAATCATTCGACATTCTGATCTTTCAAGAAATAGTGACCACAGCAATCCAAAGGTGTATGTTCCCTAGTTTATCCTTATTCTCCAGATATCTTAGGTCCATCAGTTATGTATCGTACTTTGAGGCTGTATAAAAGCTTCGGCGAACATTTTCGCCCGGGTTAATTTTCGATTTTGCCTGCGCTTGCGTCCATGTAAAACGTCCTATACTAAGTCACCTTGGAACAACCTCAGCTAGTAAGGCCGCCTTACGCACACTTGTGAGATGAAGCATACCATCGAAATTTACTTAACAGCAAAGTTCCTGGAGATGTTAATGAGTTATAAAACCCGCAGCACTTGAAGCTATATTGACCCTTACTATCAAATTCCATGACATATTTGATACGACAACTTAGAGATGTGGCACTATTGTAGCAGCCATTGTTTTGAGATAGCCTTTTACCACTTCGATGTAGTAACTACTTAATTAAAGGATAACTGACAGCTAAAAGATCACTTTTTGGGAATACCGTCTAAGTGCCTCAGGTAACACATTGAAACAGATACAAGTTGCTTCGAATGCCTCTTTGTACCTTTTTTCGCCGGGAAAACTGTCCTAAATGCAGCTTCTTGGGTCATTCGCCGTAAACGCTTCGATTTTGATCATGTGACCTTAGACGTCACACGTGCGTAAATTAAGCAAAGTAAATATGGCGGATAGTAGTTCGAGTGAAAGCAATTCTATGTCGAGTTCTGATTATTCGGATTTTGAGGCCTCGATGGAAGGTGAACATAATGGAAGGGTCCATGAATCTGTTGGTTAAATCAGGTCCTCGCGATTTGAACCGCCAGGACGAACCTAAATAGAGTGCGAGAGTCAGAAGAGGATCCGCGGCCGCCTCAACCAAGAATGGTGAGTGCATTTACGCTTGTAAATAAAGTATCTGAAAATCATTCGCTTATTAAATGTAGGAGCGATCAAGTAAAGAAAACCAAATGTGCAGACTCTTGAATACCATGGGAGCGAAGTGTTTTTGTGCTACATGTGCTACACGCACGCATCTTCTGAAACTAAGGTTTCACTGACTGAAAATATAAACATACACGCATGTGGAGTTGAATTAGATGGATTATACACGTTTCCACGCGATTGAATCGGTTTTAAGTTTTCCTGTGTTGAAGTTGGCGAACGATTAAAGATATTTCGGCTTTTACTTCAAAACACGATGCAGCAAAAAATAGCATTCGTAAATGTAGTATTTAACATCTTCTTAATATTAACTTATTGTTTACTTGTGGTCTTTGCACCTTGTTAATGGCCTAAAGTTTGAGTTATCTCTAACGTTTGTGACAGTTACAGAACTGATAACTGTTCTTTCTTCTACTCAACATCGTGAAAGAAATTGCTACTTTACTTTTTTTTTTTTATTACAAGGTGTCAGTGTGGAAACTGCCAATCAAAGTGGAGGGAGAAAGAAAAAATCTTCTGCAGGGAAGTAGATGGGGTCAAAAATAAAAATTTGGAGGATGTTACAGTGGAACAGTTGCAGGCAGAAGCCAGATGTATTGTCTAACACCCAGGTTTTGAGGAAACTGGTGAAAGCTGACTCAGTCTGCATTTTTTTTTTGTTTTTGGTTTTTTTTTGTTACAAAACATCACTATGTACACAGCGCTTGCCTGGTTTTCGTTTTCTTTATTTTACATCCTGTTGTTTTCAGTCCATATTGTAGATGTCAACGCGGCTAAGAGTGGTTCAGTTTTGGATAACTTGAGGGTGAACATATATGTTTATGCATATATACATATGTTTCAAGTTCAGGTCGTAATTTGAGAAACATTACGTGCTTGTTATTTCCGTAGCACGAGTTTGTCGCTAACTCGGTTTCTTTTTTCTACCAAAGCACTGCGTTTTAAACGGTGGAAGCTAGGCAGTCCCATGACATGTGCCCTAATAGTTTCCTCTCTCAGGCTGTCGGCTTGTTTTATTTACGATAAACGAGCGTGAAGAAGAAGCGTCACTCAGCTGAAAGTGGTACATTTTTGAAACGAGTAACCTTTCGGACAGGATTGATTTCATCATGTTTCCGGTCGCAAATGAGAAACAACGCTAGATTGTGGCGCTCATAACGAGGCGTTTCATTGTAACATCCGTTTACAGCATGTTTCTGTTATTATTCACTTCCATTGGAAGTTGATTAAACTTAATAGGCACACGAATGTGCTACATGTGCTGCTCAATGTTAGTTGTAATAATTCCTGGAGAACTCACAGTCAGAGACGAAAAGCGTCGAAAGAAATAAATAAAAAGTTACAGCAGCAAGAAGTCTTCCTTTGTGCTGCTCACTGGTCTCCGTTAAAAATAAAGGATAATTCTTGTACATTTCCGGAACGTGGAAGAAGAGTTTCGTTCACGAAACCAGATGACGACCTCCCATAATACGCGACAACACTTTGCGCTTAGTCACGCTCACTCCAGAACCGATGGGCTTGAGGTCACAGTGATATACACCGGACAAAATCTAAAGTCAAATACTTTTCGGCATGGACTAAAAAATATTTCTTTGAGTATAGGACTCGATAATGGATAAGAGGAAAAAATTATGGGAATATATTTTTTTTACAGCTGTTTGAAATGGCGTGCAAAATACCTGTGGCTCCGAATACAGACATGTGATCCGTCGCGTTTCGATTATTCAACCTTCGTTATTTTATTGCTAACTTCGTATTTCATAGCCTCTAAATGGTGGCCTATATCAGAAGGGAACAATCTTATGTTTTTTTCCGCTCGTAAATTTCGTCAGCGGCTGGACAGCGAGAGCGAAGTTGTTACTTTTTAAGTCTTAACATGACGCTTTCCACTGCCTTACACATGTGTGACGTATCATATCACGTGACCTGAATCGGAACGTTTTCAAAATAGCCGTTCATTAAGCGTAAAAAAAAATTGTAGAAAATTTGGTTTTGCACAATATATCGTTTATTTGCTCATTCAGTATTCTTTAACCTAAGAGGAATGTAGCGGGACAAAAAAAGGGGAAAATTTTGGCGTCAGTTACCCTTTTAGCCGGTAGTTACAAAGGATTGACGCAAGCAGACTTCATTAGTCAAAAAAGTGCATCATTTTTCGATGCATGATGGCACCTGAAATCTAGTACGCTTCTGAGAGCAATCAACAAGTGACCTTTGGTGTAAGCTAACCTTGAACAAATAATACAATGTTCCGAATCTCATGACTAATTTGAAGCAAAAATTCAACCGAAAAGCTGCACTTGGAACTTTATAAGTTAAAATCTAGAGGATGCATAAAGCTAACCGCAGAGTAGCAGTTTGAATTCGTCAAAGAAAAAGTGCAGTAAACCGAAATCATTATGAACTTTTATAACTGTTAGTTATTTATTTTTAGCAGTGGCGGGACAACAAAACAATATAACACATTCAGCAGAGTATCGACTAAGAAAGGATCTCCTTTCTTCTTATGACAAAATGGTACGTCCGGTGTTGGAGCCGTCAGATGTTGTAAAAGTCGAATTTGATGTGCAGCTCCTGGCTCTCAACGCAGTGGTAAGCGAAATCTTGCACGATATCTTCAGATAATGCATTCCTCATCAACTGCAATGAACTTGTATCGCAGAACCCATTGAGGCTAACATAAGAATGTGAAGACTTGAATAGAGACACTATTTTCTTGTGGTTCCCCAGTAGAGCTGTAACACAGAGAAACCCACGTCAAGTCGCGCATCCTGCCACGGGGTGTGTTATATGCTCGTCAGCCCCACACCAAGCGGGATTACTCACATTTATTAGTTTAAGATAATTATATGGGTCTTTTTATTATTTTCTTTTAATTTGTGTTACTGAATAGCACATCAGAGTTAAAAAAATAAAACATTGACTCTTGGAAAGATTAGTTTGAATATATCTCCATACTGTAAATACTGCTACCTCGTCATGGCTGGGAATTATAGAGATACGCGATCAACAATATAACTGTTCCCAGAAATATACCTTTTTGGTTGGCTGATAATTTTTGAACCTCAACTTTTAACATGAATGTAACTTAGTATCTGCATCAATTGCGCCTCCACTCTCAATCACTCTTTGAAGGTAAAATATTCTCACCTGATACCAAATATGTTCATGTCACACAGGACAATAAAGAACAAACTATCACAACAGAAACGGTGATCACGCAGGTACGCTATGATTCAATTTTAGACAGTGTAACCTAACCAAGGGCTAATTGGATATTTTAACCTTTTATTGTATTGCTAGTGTGTACATGAACCGCGAGTGGCAGTTTTGAAGTTATTAAATCAAATTCTTGTTATGAATCGTAGAAAAAGAGGTAGGGAGGGTATGAAACCTCGGCTATCTCCTTACAAAACCTCTCTTAGTTCGAAAATGCGCAAATTTTAAAAAACAGCAATTTTCTGATTTGTATTCATGTGTTTTATCGATAAGGACTGAGAGTGTGTAAGTAGGATACATTTCATATTTATTAGCGTAAAACAAAACATTGTGTCTTCACTTAGCTTTTGAACTTTTCGATTGTTAACGGGCAAACCCAGAAATTTGCCTTAATCTGTAGAATGTCTTTGTATGAGAAAAGTAAATGTTTAGTCCATAATGGTCCTAACGTGTTAAGTAGTTTTGTTTGGATGATTATCGTTCTCTGTAGACTTGATTAGGTTTACTTCAACCTACATTTCACGCTGTGCACTTGACATTTACTAACGCTCGGAGATTGTCACTAACTTTTTTTTATTTATGAAACCTTCGTCACATGCTGCTTTCGCGTCAATGGATTACCCTTAAAAGAATGTCTGATTGGTAGTCTTTAGTCGAAGAGCATATTTCACGTTCACGCAATGTTTTTCCCATAACTATATGTCCTAACATCATTTCTACCGTCACACTCGAAAGTAGAATTCGCATTTAAGTGCAGCCGTACTACTATTTGCTATGGCAACTTTTCATTTAGGGTTGCCAGCGCATCTTCTTCAGTCTATTTTTCTTATAATTCTAAAATCCTCAGAGAAGGAGACTTGTTAGAGTGAAATTAAGAGCGAATTTTTTATTCTAAAAAAATACTAATACGTCAAGAGTAAAATCTTGAGTTGTTTGAGTGTGGTTAAGAATCATCTTAGATTAGGGAGAGAACTTTGAACAATAGTTAAGCAGACCTGAAAATTGACGGAGAAGGTAACGAAAACTCAACTTGAGAAAAAAAGACAGCAAAAGAGGAGAAAATTGATTCAAACTAAAAATGAAAATTGTGCGAGGATTACGCTAAAATCTGCGTCACTTACGTGAAAAAGTCGAAGGGACATGCTGAAGAAAAATTCCAGCAAACGCACTTAGACTGCGCAAGCCGCAGGAACAAGTGTGACATAATACACACCGGCTTTGCCATTAGTATAAGCGAAAGACCAGGCGAGTTTTTCGAACGAAAATACCCTTAAAATGCGCTTGGATTCCATTTACAACGCCGCCGTTCAGAATCTTTTCGAGGAAAAATCTGTTAATTGATTTATTCTAGCTGTCTCTATCGTTAGTAAGATTATCGAAAAAAAAAATTAAGCAAATTTTAACCCTGGCTTGGTAGCTTGTTACAAACAGATTAGAGTGACGCGGTTGCAAAGAATTTAAGTTTCAAAGTTGCAAGCAAGATACAGAGTAAAAGATGACAAAATTAGTAATTGAAGCCATAGTGCAGCTGTCTAAAGTGATGGTTCTCAGTTATCATTTCTCAGTTAGTAATACGGTTGCAAAGATCAGAATTTAAGTCACGAAGTTGTAAGTAAGATACAAAGTAAAAGTTGACAAAATTAGTAATTGAAGCCATAGTGCAAAGATACAAAGTAAAAGTGACAAAATTAGTCATTGAAGCCACAGTGTAGCTGTCTAACGTGATGGTTTTTCAGTTAGAAGATTGTAATTAGCGGGAGACAGAGTAAAACTAAAAAAGGTGATAACCGAACACGAGCTACTAACACGAAGTATTACTATATATTGTATTCCTTGGCCCACAGCAATGGAATAATCCTTACCTACGTTGGGCTCCCGAGAATTATGGAAACTTGAAACAAATACTTGTGGATCCAAGAGAAGTTTGGGTGCCTGATGTAGTACTAGAAAACAAGTAAGTTGAATTCTGCGGCATTTCAAGTCATTACACTTCGGAAGTTTTAAGTAACAAACTATCCTTATAAAACAAGGGATTATGATTTATTGCGAAAAAAAGGATCAGAAAAGATCCAAATGCCCGAGTGGTTATGCCAAGTAACACGAACCTTAATACGCCAATTATTTTTCAGTTTTGATGACATACAGATATTTAAAATTCTCTACAAAGTTATAGACTAGAGGGTTGTTTTTCATCGAATTGCGACTTGAAAAAATGGAATATAACATGCTCAGACAAGTTAAAAAAGGGGAGGGAAAAAGTGTCTTTTATTTACCACTTATGCAATTATGAATTTTTTCTACAAAATGAGCGCCCAAGTTTTCTATTGTAGCATTTTACATTTCATTAAGACTAAACAGACACGCATACAGTGATGAAGTAGTAAAAGCGTTCCTCTCCGGCTCCGGTTAGACGCCAGCTCAGAAGCTTTTAAACAAAATTTTTAGTCCGTGTGCCCATTATGTAGTCTTAGTTCCTCAGGTCAAAAGGTTACGAACAATTTATGCATATCCATTTTTTCCCACCTCAAGTGCAGATAATGGGGTTGTTCAGGCGGGGCACGTGGAAAAATTCCGAAGTTGGGTGCGTGTGAACAGCGGTGGACATAACACGTGGCTATCCCCAGCAACGTTCAAGAGCAAGTGTGGGCTTAGTTTCAAGAACTTTCCCTTTGACACACAGAAGTGCAGCCTAGTTTTTCGTTCTGTAACATCTGACCGTACCTTTTTAAATATCGATACCACGCACATCAAAAACGATAATCCTGAGGAAGGTAAGGTTACATGGCAATATTTATGTGAAAATTTGAAGAAATAGGATTCCAAGTTAACTCAAATCAACTCTTGCCGTTGCAAAACATCATGGAAAGTAGTTGTGTATTATTCTTAGTTTTCTGATATTTTTATTATTTAGAGCTTAACCTCACCACATCTAATGGTTATTGGTCTCTGAGAAGCATTGAGATCAAGACCGAGGATAAGAAGCAATCACCGATATTCAGCAAAGTTGAAGTATCATTTCGTATTGGACGTAAACCCATGTTCTTTATCCTTTTCACCATCGTTCCTTGTATGATCATTGGGCTGCTGATTCTCGTGAGTTTCTATATTCCCAATGAGGTTGGTGGAAGGATCGGACTGTGCTCAACGATTCTGTTGTCAGTCAGCGTGTACCTACTCGTCATCGTAAACCAGCTTCCGGAACAGTCCGACGAGTTGCCCATTATTGGTGTTTACTACATTGCGACCATGTTTGAGATCGGTCTGGCGCTGACTGCCACAGTTGTAGTCATGATGGCTTACCACGCCACTTCCGAGCCACCCCGCATCTTGACTTGGATAACAGGTAAGGTTAATAACTGATAATCAGTCCATATGAGTAAATTAGAAAGTTGTTAACACCAAGTCTATAAGCGACAATAGCAATTTTAATGGTAATTCATGACATGGTGAAGTAATCAGGATCATGTGCGATTTCGACGATGATTTCGGCGAGAAAAGATATAATAATAATACCTACCGAGGACACAAATACTGAGACGTCCTCGGAGCATTCACGATAATAAAAATAATAATAATAATGATAATAATAAAAAACACAGACAGTTATTTTGAAAACAGTGACAGACTTAGTACTAAAAAAACTTTTGCAATTGAATGGAAGGCAATTGATCTCGGTCACGGCCTTTGTTTACAGCTGAGTTTAACGATGAACGTTTTATCAACCACCACGACATGAATGCCCAGAGGTTTTCAGTGAAGAGCATATTTGGAAATATTGATCGCCGGTTCAACAAAAAGCAAAAATATTCATTGTTTTTCAAATTTCAGTGTTTAACAGGATTGGTTCCTGCGGAAGAAACAAAAGAAGACTACGTATCAATGACGCTAATTTGAATTCATCTCCTGAAGTTGGGGAAGTAAATACCACTGGCATTGCAATGGAGGAAATTGTTGATGTGGAGCTTGGAGAGGTGGATGGGCAGACTTCAGCTGACACCCTCGGGGAGAAAACGCCACCCACCTCGGTTTCTAAAGAAGAAGTCAACCAAGAAACTTGGAAGGAAATCGCTCGTGCGCTCGACCGTGTTTTCTACTGGTTGTTTTTGGCGCTGGTTGTGTCTTCTTCTATTACAATTTACGCACACGCAGGAAAGCTTTAATCGCTCGGTCAATGTAATTTCAATTGACCTCTTTGGAAACTGCTGGGCGAAGTCCGCTCTGGTGTTCAATAAATTAATCAAATAATGTCTGTCCAATTGTAAGCAGTTTTTTTAAAGACTAACTGTTTTATAGATGTAGAATTGAACTTGTGAAACCAGTCCCATTCTCAGGTGGTGGCAATCCGGCGAACAGCAGTGCGAACAGAACGAGCTGATTGAGTGAATTTAACCAATAGAATCAAAATGCTATTTCCAAGCTGACAAATAGTACTGAGTACAGCCACGTATGCTGGTAACACGATAAACTGTTGAAATTTTGGCCTTTTTTACGGCTGATAACGGTTAACTTACTTCTTTTGTAATTAAATGGCAAATTTTAATGGTTAACTTTTTTTACGACCAACCGTTTAAATTTGTCAATTTTTACTCCTAACGGCTAAATTTTTTGACCGTTTGACGGCTAAAGTTAAAAAATGAAAGAAAATTTGTAAAATCCCTAACGAACGGGTCGAGCCGAGAATGAATTGTTCACTGAGAGAACTGATATTCGCCATCAGGTAGTTTTTAGAAGTAATTGTTTTAAATCTATGTACTCCAAATTTTGTTCCTCTAGGGAAATTAAATTCCTAATGAACTCTCATTGTAAACTTCTCGGTCGGTGCCGTTGGCATAATAAAGCACGCTTTGTTTATCCACGCTGACAATTACTCAAAATGCAGTTACTCAAATTATTCAAGATCATTTTAGTGTTTGTCCCTTTCATGTAGTCGGACGTTCATTGATAACAAAACCCTCAGAAAGTACCTGAAATAATGCACTTCAGTTTCCTGGTACCTTTTCTTCTGATTTTCCTTTACCAGGCAGGTAAGCGATTATGAGCAAATTTTAAATGCTTTGTAATGACTACTAAGTGTAACTCAGTCAGAAGCCTTCGTTAGCCATAGAATTGCGCTTAACAGTAAGCTGCTTGTTGGTGGCATGAGTAAAGTTGATGGCAAAGAAATTCCGGTGGCTAATGGAAATAAAGCAATGAAAACGGTAAATTTTGAGTAACATCATGAGATGTATTAGCCATTTGTCAAAGGCTTGGAACGAAGAAATCTGAAGAGGAATGTTTCTTTTCTCTTAAACTCGTGGCAAATTTCTTTTTACAACAACTGCGCTAAAAACTTCATCTTCTTTCTCATTAACCTATCTCATCACATGGTGGTTTTCTGGCTGGCGAGCAACGTGAGCGTGCGAAAGGTCTGCGTGGGTTCTGGCACGACACGGACCTCAGTCTCGCCGGCTTGAATTCTCCTTCGTTCAACCGAAGTAGGGAATGCGTGGGAAACTAACTTGGCTGGGTGCGCACCAGTTTTCTACGGTTCCTTTAGAAACTTACTAATTTTATACTTTATGGAGTTAGATTGTTTGACTTCTTAGCCGTGTACCGCATAAAGGTAACGTACAGCAAAAGAGAGTAAGTCAAAGTGTTGATTACAGATCAGATCTTACTCAGGTCATTCTTTAAATGACATTGTTTGATAAGATTTCCGCATCGTTCTGTTCGATATGTCTCCGATTGCCTGGCATTTGATGACTGAATGCACGACTGAGTTCGATTAACGAGCCTAATAGTTATTGAGGTTGCCAAACATTTCCTGCACTTAAATTACGGTGAGTCAATTATTTCCATGAAACTATAACAAAATGCAAATCTACTCGTAGGCAACTAGACCTGAAGAATAAAACTTAAGGTTTCTAAGTACGAAAGCAATTCTTATCTCGGACATTTGAAGGCCAACCAATTGAAATACTTCAGAGTTTTCAGTGTCACGATTTTTCCTCCTTTTTCTCCATTTAGGATGCGCTGCAGGATGGCCGAGGACAACCGTGTCAAAGGAACATCAACTCCGGCAAGATCTATTTTCAAGTTCTGGAGGAATTTCATTTAATCGTATGATTCGACCTGTGTTAAACACGGCGGAAAAAGTTAAAGTGAGAGTCCAGGTGGAGTTGAGAGCTGTCGTGGATGTGGTAAGGTCCATACATCTCGAAGTAATGATAACGGTTAAATAAAATAGTTACGACTTCGAAGAGGGCTTCTAAGGAAAGTAAAGAAGAATTGTGCATTTTTTTCCTTTTTCCTGAAGTGAAATGCGTATCTTAAAATCAATTACACTCGTAAGTGCATTTTAAGCCTTATGCATTATGCATAAGGGAAATCTTATAAGGAATTTCACTCTGAAAACGCAACAAATATTTCTCGTGCACACAAGAAAACGGATGAGGTGTTTCCAGTCAGACTACGCTAGAAAGAAATTTCATGTGGATCTCTCCCAAACCTGTCACAAAAACAAATGTTACTTGCACACAGACATCTTCGCACCTTATCCATAAACTTCTCTTTATTTCTGTGTATAACGCGTACTGCGCGAATTTTCGCACAATTGTACTTTTTACTGAAGTACCTTTTTTCACAGGATAAAAACGGGCAATTCGTGTCTACAGACACAATCATCAAACAGGTATATATTTCTGTCCAATTATTAAAGATTTTGATGTTTATACCAATGTTGTGGGAGTTTTTCTAGTTTTAGAATGATTGAAGTGGATCCGATCAAACTGAATCAATTTATTTAGTGGCTGTTACCATTCACGAGCGATTTTTAAATAGAAGAACAACTTGATCAGCATAAAAATAACTCCAAAAATTCATTCCTTCTATGGTATTTTTTTCGCAAATTTTCAGCAATGGAATAACACTTTCTTCATGTGGACACCAAGTACTTATGGAGGCGTGGAGAAACTTCTCGTCAGTCCCAACGAGATGTGGGCACCTGACATTGTATTACACAACAAGTAGGTGATTCCATGTAGAGTTAAGGCTTTTACTTGCATGCTGGGTGTGAGTACCTATAATTGGTCAATAGAGCGATTTGTGATAGTGGGTCGTTAAGTAAACGCAAAGAAGCCACAAACACCAATCAGCGTGAAGGGAAACTATCTCAAGAGACTAATTAGAATTCAAAGCGAAAACAGGCAAACTGCTTAATGTGCCACAAAACTCAAGGGATTGATTTTGTTATTGCGTCTTTTTTATTGAGATGGTGCCGTAAGTTTTCTAGACCGATCACAGAGCGTAGAAAACCATGAAAATTAAACGACAGATTAGTTTCGACTCTAAATATAAAACCAACATTCCAAATTTCGATTCGACCTGGTAAGAGTGGACAAGAAGAGCCATGTAGTGGAATTTCTATTGCTAAACTCTAATTCCCATTTATTTCACTGATCTACTGACTTGATTACATCATGAACAGTCTTAGCTGATGTACGCTACCAGCTCGTGAGTACAGACCACAATATAGCTTCCTAAGCTTCGCAGTTACTAACCATCACTCTCAAAAGCTACTTCTTTTTACTTGGTTTATAATACAACACACAACTGTAGTTCCCGTTCCGTCTTTTCTCTCTGTCGATCTTTGAGTCAATAGTGGTGTCAGTATTAAAGTTCTTATCTATTACATTACTGAAACTGTGAATACAAACTATTTCACTCAAATCTCACAATTTCTCTATTCTATTGTAAACACCCCAATTTTCACCTCCCTTTCCAGTTATTGACGGATTCACTGTCTACCTAGCTGACTGACCGACCAACTGACCGGCGAACCAAACACTAACCAACCAACTAACTGACTGACTGATGATCGTTCGATCGGGCGATAGATCGATCTCTTGCTCATGACCTGCTGACTGACTAACCGATTGACTTATTTACAGACCGGCACCGTAATCGACTAACTGATTGACTGACCAAATGACTCGCTAACTTATTGACTGACTGGCTGAATGACTGACGAAAGGACGAAAAAATTAACTGTTGGATGGATTTATGGATACGGGTCATTCATTGATTTACAGTGCAGATGATAATGTCGCTCAAGCGGGATACACAGAGAAATTCAAGACATGGATAGTTATTTACCACAATGGCATTAGTGACTGGATTTCCCCGGTGTCCTTCAAGAGCACTTGTAGCCTCGATGTCACGTATTTTCCGTACGACCAACATCGCTGTGACATGATTTTTGGGTCGCTAACATCAGACAAGACACTTCTGGATATAGAAACAGATGAAGTCCATTTAGAGACGAGGAAAGGCCGAGAGAGTGACGAGGACGGACAATTTGGTATGTCACCCAGAGAATAAAATTGAATTTCAACTAGTTGGTGACTGTATAGAGAGGCCTAATAAAATATTTGGAAAGAGAATGTGCAATGAGATATTCACCAAGTCGTCAATAAAATGAACTTTAATTGAATCTAAGGAGTTTCCTAGCAATTAACAATAACATCATCGATGAAAGTTTAAAACACTTCTTTAAAACAAAAACTTAAAATTTTGTACGAAAAGGATAAATAAGCAAGTAAAGTAAGTAACCTATATTATTGTGGTCAAATACACCTACCTCATTACGGTTTTGTGAGTATCACTGTTTTCCAGGTATTGCCACAATCATGATGTCATGCCAGTTTTTTTCAGGGGTCCTTTAAAGATACTTAGTTTAGTCTCAATTCTTCCAGAAATGCGTTCCATATACATATTCGGGGCAAAGTACTCTCTTTCCACTTACATAACATTTGCTTTCGTTCCGACAGAAGAGATTGAAAAGAGTGCCTCCTGGTCAATTCAGAGGATAGAAGTAAGAAGGAAAGAACATTATCGCAAAGGTTTTCCTCACCCCTTCACCGCCATACACCTGAGCTTCATTATCCGCCGGAAACCACTGCACTTCGTTGTTTTTTCCATGGTGCCTTGCATGCTGATCGGAGCACTGATTTTTGTCAGCTTCTTTATTCCTGTAGAGAGTGGGGAGCGAATCGGTTTCAGTTGTACAATCCTTCTCTCTGTGAGCGTCTACCTTCTGATCGTGACAGAGGCCCTCCCCGAACAGTCCGACTCTCTGCCACTAATTAGTGTATACTACATCATAATCATGATAGAAATAGCGTTGGCGCTGACCGCCACCATTGTGGTACTCAAGGCACATCACGCTACTACCCAGCCACCTGGCTGTCTCAAGGGTATGTTGTTTATCAATAATATCTACAGATGTTGTCGGAAGCCCAAGAGAAGGAAGCGAACCTCAAAGGTTGAGCCCCCGGTGCAAGTGGTCGTGCTGGACTACAGCAGTGACCACAAGGAGAAACACGAAGACAGTGAGGAAAGATACCGCAAGAAAAGCTCAATAAGTCTGAGCCAGCTCTCAGTGGACAGCGGTTCTCAGTTGTTTACTCGCCCCAACACCACTGACGGTAAGGAGGAAGAAGAAGACTGGAGCGAGACCTGGCGTCAGATTGGGAAGGCTCTAGACAGACTTTTTTTCTGGACTTTTACCATAACGTTTTTAATTTCGACAGTTGTAGTTTTTACATACGGACCATCATTAGCCAAGCCATTGAATGATGAAATGGATAAGTTGTACGGTCCTCAAAGAGGAGTTTAAGGAGATAAGTTTTTAAGGAACAGACTGCGCTTGAAATGTGAATATAACTTATTACTTTTCAGGCGTATGCTGACATCAACGAATCAGCTGAAAAATCTTTTGTTTCTTTTTATTTTTACATTTCAAACTTTATGATACACACAAGCAAGCATTTGAGGAAAAAATCCTATTTTCTGGCAGACATCCAGTTACATAAATGGTCTCTGCTTAAGCTTCCTAATAATAATACCAACCAGGTTACCTGCTTCTGTGCAAACTAGATCCGTCATTACACCGGGCAATACTCAGAATATAACTTCGTGCGAAGCATCGATTGCTAAACCAGTGGACCTTTTTTATTCTGAGAAGCATGAAATTAGTTGAAAGGATAAATAGAAACAGATTGATTTGCATGCGAAACTCATTAGTGTTTGAATCGAAAAGCAAATTCAAAGTTTGCCTTGCTTTAGTTGAAGTACCTAGGCAACGACCACAACATTACACTTGCCCTTCTTGCTTGCCGATGCCAACTGTTACAAGTCATGGACTCAAAATAGAAAAGACCTTGTGGTAAATTCAATAACTAGTTTGATTCCAATTTCTTAATTTGGCAGAACCATAAGAAATTCAAATATAGAAAGTAATCAACAAATTGTAGGACGTGGTTTGGATGTTTCAAGAGGGTGTCTTTTCTACGTCAGCAGGTGCTTGATTTGAAAATTATGAACGATGTCAAAGAATATCCGCCAATTTAGCTGCTTTGATACTGTGTACATAATAAAGGACAACTGTATTCGTGTCATCTATCGTATCATTGGTTAGTTGGTGTGACAAGATGAAGGGGCTAGCATACACTTTCTGCGGGGGCGCTATCGACTTTGCAATGAAATGACTCACAAAAGGGAACAGTTGTCATGATTTTCAATCTTTCGAAGCGTTTATTAATAATTGCGACTAGTTTGATCCTCTTTATCATTAGGAAAAAAAGAAGACAAAAACAGAAAACCCAAAGGTATGTTCTTTTTCAAATCATGAAATGTTTAGACTAGATTGACAAGCGAATTGTTCTTTCCGAAAAAGAACTTTTGGCATCTTAAGCTGTGATGAGCAAAGTGCCAAAACACGTATTCACCAAATTGATTATAACTGAAAACTAATAACGGTAAATAAACAGTGCGAGTCAAATAAAATAAGTGTCAATTCTGGAAGAGTTTAACACATCACTTGTCTGCCACCATCACATGACGTTTTCTCTAGGGAACGAATAGCGGGGAAGAAAAGAAGCAAAACAAAACAATAAAAAACCAAGCGATCGAGGTAATCAGTTATTGAACTCTCCCCATTAACGTTTACAGCTTAGAAACGGGTGATTCCAGTGGTGCCAAGACGTCTGCGACACCTATTGCAAGTAGGTTTAATTTGTAGATTGGACTGTCCATCTTGCTGAATCAGGACCAGTTTTTTTTTCCGCTTTTTTCCCAATCGCTTCTCTGAGCAGCTGTTCTGATTAAGAGACAGTATATGATCAACCCCTCCAATATTTAATTTAATGTTTCAGTTACCGTGAAATTCAGGTTAGTATTGCTCTTAATCCAACTACCCTTTTAAAGAACCGTAAGTTTAAAACATAAGCGAGATAATCAATTTTTTTTGTTAAACGGTGGCTTCTTTCATGATCAGGCTGAAATTCAAAGAGATAGATAAGCTGTAATGCAATCGACTGTCTTCCTATTTATGATACAAGTATGGAACTTAGAAACCAAAAGCCATACTTGAAAACTGCGAATAAAATGAACACGCTGGACAGAAACATGACCGGAAACTTTTCTTTCTTTTCACGAGCGTGAAGTTTCTGTCTTGATATGGTAGAGAAACTGATAATATTGCAAGATATCTGCTTACTGTCTTTTTTTAGGCTAACGTCGAAGATCATTCAAAAATCTTCTACCACAATGTTAAGCTCAGTCCGAATTTCAAATTTCATTTAGATTCTGCTTACATAATCGAGAGGGCGGAAAGAATTATAGAATCAATTTCCCGGGCAGATGAATTAGTTTCCTTTGTTCTTATTGTAATCTGGGAAGTACTCTTTCTTTCCTTAATTTTGACTATCCTTAAACTTTCCGTGATTAAAATGAAAAATATGAGACACCTATATTTGATATACAATCAAGGAGAACCGGAATAAAAAAAATAAGGCCGAAACGATAAACTGATCGACAACACACGTTTTGGTGAAGTTAACTTTCAAGGCGTAAGTAAAAGGATGATCGAATTAGAATGTAAAGGGTCAGGTAATATCATTGCTCTTATCCTTTTTGGTGGATAAAGAAAGAGCTCGGAAAAAAAAAAATTCCAATGCCCAGGAACTTGTCACTCGTATGAAATCATTGTCACGAAATAAGCTTTACAATCTATATTCCTTCCTATTGCATATCTGTGAAGATATGCTGATCAAGTTATTTTTGAATTGCCGCAAAACCGTATTCCATCTTAAACCAAACATTTCTACATGTCATCATCTTTAATACCAGATGCTTATCTTCTTCTGAACGGGAAATTGAATGGGGATGGAAAACATTTATTTTACATCGATTTTATAAAGACGTTGTTTGGATTAATTGACATTTTCCAAAGACAGTTTGGCCAAAAGCGTGTTTAAATTCTTGAATTATGTGTAGTTTATCGGAACACAGCTACCTCAAAAGTACACAGTACATCGGTTATTTGTCTCCTTTTAAACAATCAGAGAACAACATTCTGAATTTCGAGGTTTTATTTCGGTGCATCGATGACCAACCGGTTCCCCTGCATACTACAATTTTGAACATCCTACCGCCTTCTACCTATCGAGTTGCTTTCATGTAGTAATGGTATCACAAAACATGATTTTTTTTCCTTGTTAGGGAAAGTGGAAGGAAAGGTTCGCCTAATAGTATAAATGTTGAATTGTTTTCTGCAACACTTTGACGAGAGCCACGACATGAGTGCAATACAAAACGTGCGGGAAAAAAAAAACAACAAAGTAAAACAAAGAACAAAATGAAACGACTGTTTTTTGACCATTACAAGAGAGCCTACCAACCTCAGTTGAATTGAAAATGATAAAAGTACTTAAGGGCGGTCTCTAAAACAAATACATTTCCCAAAGTTAGCGGACTGTCTTGAAAATGATCTAATATCAAATCCAGACCTGACATTCTGCACAGCTGATTCAACGAGGCTACTTTTTTGCACGTCAAAATTCGTTCAAAAGCTTTTAGCCAAAATATGGCAAAGCGGTACTCGCCAATTTTAATCAGCACTCTGTATTCTGAACTTTGAGATTCCACATCTTTGGATCGATAGCTGAGCGGTTCCCCCGCAAACATGTTTTAAACTAGCTTTTTTAACATCCTGCCGCCTTCGATCTGTCGAGTTTCTTTTACATGGTCTAGGGTGGAAAATTGAAGACCCAATTCTGGAGGAGCCCTGTCCTGGAAAGCCTCAGAATCAGAGAGCACCTAGATAAAGAAAAATGCTAATAAGATTATTGTTGCTAGTAGTATTAGTAAGACAGATAATACTTCAATGATATTTTTTGTCTTTTAGATTAAAAAATAAAGGAAATTGTGAAGACGTTCTTGACCTGGCACAAGTTTGGGTTCTCTATTTTCACAGCAAATTAAGCAACACAAATAAAAGAAAAAAAAAATGTAATTGCTGCGTCACATCGTGGGTTTTGATCCAAGGTTTTTTTCTTGTTTTTCTTTTGTTGTTGTTTTGCATAAAACGCTCAATTCTCAATTGTAGAGCTTTTCTTTTGTGTATGTAAATAGGTCAATTCTCAATTGTGAATAATCTTATTCTACCCAAATTTCGCAGCTGTATGGGCAGAGGTAGCGTTTGATAGGAACTTTTGAATTCTGGCCAACCTAAATACACAACATCACCAACTCATCAAATGATATTTATCTTTCCGACTTTCGAATCATTGTATAGGAAGATTTATGACTGACGGACGGAAGAAGTTATGTAAGCTGTGTAAAGAACTTTATCAACATAAAAGAGGTGAAGAACTACTTAAAACGATCACCGGTTGTAAGAGGCCAACTGTACGGTACTACGGTTTTGAACACAAAAGTTAGATGAATAACACAACTCATGAACAACGACCACCTCCGCCACCGGAGTTGGCGTCTCTCGTGAACACTGTAGATCTTGCACATTTGATATCTGGAATCTATATTTCGATTATCGCTGTCCTTACGATAAATGGAAATGGTCTGCTTCTCTTGGCTATCATCAAAGACCCTTTCAAGTCGTTCCGAACACCCACAACTCTCTTTGTGGTGGGTCTTGCAGTGGCGGATGTCCTCACTGGTGCCGTTGTGGAACCTTTGACAGCTTATATTTATATTGGACATTACCTTAAATTTCATCTTAATCCGGACAAAAGGAAAGCATTTATCGACTGTGCACATTTTACCTCGCACATATCCTTCGTTACCATGAACGCATCTTTCCTGATTTTACTGACCTTAACGTTTTGTCAGTACGTGGCCATATCGTTTCCGCACAAGCACCGCTCCATTGTCAACCACAGAAACGTAATGACTGCTTTGATTATTATAGCGATATATTCAGTTTTGTTCTCGTTTCTTCCTGAGTATAACGTCCCTCTTAGATTGAAGATGGAAATAGATGTGCTTTTAAACACCAATGCCATTGCCCTCGTACTACTCTTGAGCTATGGACTTCTCTACCGAGCTTACCATTTACATCTTAGCCGTGTGAGCTCACTGGACGAAAACCAGGCCGCACGGGCTCGTAGGAGAGAGCAAGAACGCGAGTTTACCGCGGCTAATTTACTTTTGGTTTCATTTTTTCTTGTATTTACTCTACCTTCAATGATTCTTTGGAACCTCAGGCTCTATAAGTATTACGATACTCGTTCTCTACCTTTTGATCAGCAGTTGAGACTGTCACTCGCAACCGCGCTTGCTTTTGATGTTCTTGTCATGAAGTTTGCTCTTGATCCATGCATTTATGCATGGAGATTGTCCAAATACCGCCATGCCATCAAAAAAATTATCAAGTGTGGTCAAGATGTTTCTGAGATCGATGCAAGCATTCCGACGAACACAACTTCACTCGCAAGTTCAAGACACGCCGGGGTAGATGGAAAAAAGGGTCAAGAGCGGGGTCGGTCGGGTTCTACAGCTTTTCCTCTTAATTTGCCCCATCAGTCAATGGCAGAACCCGAGTTTTAAACCACTCAGCTGAGTGGACTTGTGAAAAAGAGAGGTATAAGACAACTTTAAACAAGGAAAGGACCCAGGTGTTAAGCTGATTGATCAAGTTAAGCGGTCACCTCTATGAGGTGGTTGCAGTCATCCTTAACTAAGTCATAACGATTTGTTTTTATCGTCCTCCACCTGTATTAAACGGTTACTGAAAGCGAGAACACTCAAATAAAACTAAGAATACTATTCCAAGTAATTTTCAATCTATGTTTCTCCCCCGGAATCAAAGTAAGCGAGATTCTGCACAAAATAAGTGGTCAATTATGGAATAAAGTGGCGTTTTTCATGGGGGTCTTTTTTTTTGTAATACGCCTAATCTGTGGAACCTGTCTGGAGCGGTCACCCTGCTATTCCCCGTGGGTAACCGTTTAATGCAGGTTCCATTTAAAATAAATATAAATAAATAAGTGAATAAAAAGATGACTAAATATACAGATTAATAGACATTTAATATCTGTAAAGATATCAATTGTAGGGAAATTTAAGGGCAGCATTGCCTGAAATATGTCAATGTAATGTAATGCAGGGTGATTTAGCATTATCAACTGAGTTGACAACGTAAATTGGCCACCGTAAAGAGTTTATAAAAGTTGACGTTTCGAGCGTTAGCTCTTCGTCAGCGCGATTGTTTTAATTTTGTCTATCTCTCTGACGAAGAGCTAACGCTCGAAACGCATCTTTTAAACCCTTCACGGTGGCCAATATACGTTATCAACCTAGTTGATAACGTAACCCTGTTATACTCTCCCACAGACGCAGCACCACAGTTTCTTTAGAAACTTACCCCCTTATAACATAATTCAGACTTCGAATAAGGGACGTGGCAAACTTAGTTGATATTGGAAACACTACCTGTGTCTTTCATATGTGAGTATATCGAAGCTTTATATCCTTATCTTATCCGCCAGTCATTAAACATTGAATATTCATTGACGTGCGTGCATGGTAGTTTTCCAAACTCTCTCGATGGGTTCTTCGCAACGAAGACGTAGCGAAAGAAGAAAAAATCTGGATCTATATCAGTATCTGAGCAACTGCCCACCTACCCCTCCCCTAACCCAACATTAACTGTTGTTGGGTTAGGGGAGGGGTAGGTGGGCAGTCGCCCAGATACTGATATTGATCCAAAAATCTTATGGGCAGAGCAAATAGCTTAGCACATGTGTTCTCAAACTTTGTAAATTTCATAACCTTCTTTTGCAAAACATCAACGTGAAATCTCAAAAATGTGCACGATCTGAGAACGGAAACCCCGTCGGCAATATTACTCCAGTTTCTCTCTGAAACACAACGCCACTCTCATATGTTATGCCGAAACTGAGGCGGGCGCCATAAAAGGCGATAAACACTATGCAGCTATTCGCAAAATTATCGCAAAAAATAGGAATTCATTTTTGTCTATTTCGCGTTGCCACCCTGCTGATATGTAGATAAATGAATAAATGGTATCAAATAAGACACTAAAAAGACAAAAACAAAAAAAGAATATAAGAAACCCTGACAGAAAAAGACACTGTAAACCCTAAACAAACTAACAAAAAAACAGGAAAAATGAACAAAGGGAAGGAAAAGAAGTTGAAGAAAGAAAAGTAAAACAATTAGGTAAACAAAACAAATTATATTAAATGAAAATGATACACAGATGACATTGTCTACTGGTAGTTCAATTTTCCTACCTCAACCGGATCAGGCAATCTAAAAGCTCCGCTGGCTATGATTACAGCAGGTAGATTTGCTTAGAACCCTCTGATTGAACACAAACAGGTAGACAATCAAAATTGGGAACTGATAGGAATGGAAGTATTCCAAACTGGACGCGAAATTATTTCCCTGCCTTTACGATGCGCGAAGTGCAGACATTTAAAAATGCATGATGGGTAGAAATTTGACTCTGAGCATGCGTGATACAAACACGTGCCCATATGATGTCACGGCGGGCTCAGAAAAGGTAAAGTTTTCATTTGTTCGGTGGACGAATGGGTTCGTGTTATTCGCGTTTTAGAACTCCTTAACGACTGTGAATGAACCAGCAACTTGAGGTATTGGAAAAAAATTAATACATTTATTTGTTTAATTCCTCAAAACACGATTTACCACGACGAACTCACACATAAACATCAAGAACTCTTCGGTCCGCGCCAGACGTAAGCGAGCTGCTTGCGGTAAAATGGCAATTAAATGTAAGCATTCTGACCATTCGTCTGCGGAAGATCAGGTCAAATATCAGAAGATTCAGGCTGAAGAAGATCAAAACAGTAAAGAAAGTGAAGGTAAGGAGTAAAAGTGGATGAGACATTGTTGTAAACTAATTGAAAGCAATGTTTGTTTACAATTTGTCAGAAAACTGTCATGAATCCCGAACGGAAGTTGTGTACCTATGACCTTGCATTCATACTTTTCCTTTCAGTATATTTAAATTTTCGTCAATCTCTCTGCCAAATGTGTCACTCTTTTTGCCATTATTTTAAGAACCTGGTTGCCTATGTATATTAAATAAGTGGTTTTCTTTGCTTAGGGTATCAACGGCTTATTGAGATGTACACTGTTATTTTCATTTGTATTTTGTCATGAAATGTTTAGTTTTGTTATGTATTTTTGGAAAGTTGATTCCTTACCACGAGTTGATAGTATCATGAACAATCCATTCTGAAGTAAAATTGACATCAAACTGCAGATGAAGCTTTAAGATAACATTGATCTTCCATTAGTTTCTCATGAAATGTTTGGTTTCTTATATATTTTTTGAAAGTTGGTTCCTCACCACGAGTCAATAGGATAATGAAGAATCCGTTCTGAATGTAAAATTGACATTGAATTGCAGATGAAGCTTAAAGATCACATTGATGTTCCAGCAGTTTCTATGTACTTTGACACAAGTGTGACTGAAAATCTTAATTATTTATTTTCATCAGGAATGCATGCAAGAAAAGATTTTTTACTATTTAGGGTTCACATTTTGTGCATATGAACAAGGAAGGTTTATAAGCTGAAAACTGTTATGCAAGTAAAGATGTGTCACTAACCTGTATCAGAAGGATACAAGTTACTAGTTACACCAGTTTTAACCAACTATTGGTACTTTTATATCAAGGTGCGGAAAAGGCAGGAGATACATATGACCTAACCCATCTGAAGCATGACTGGTATGATAAGGTGGGTTTAAATTTAAAAAAATGTTTTTGAGGAAGAATGGAGTGTTAACCAGGACCTAAACATTTTTTCCTGTCTGTCAATGTACTACTGATTCCAGTATGCAATGTTTCAGATGTTTTTTCTAAATTTGTAAGATAACAACACAGGAAGGGCATAGATAAACTGATTCCAGTATGCAATGTTTCAGTTGCATTTTCTAAATTTGTAAGATAACTACCCAGCAAGGGCAAAGATACACTGTATGAATTTTTTTTTAATTGAGAAAAACATCAAGCAATGTGCCATTAGAGAAAGGTGGGCATCATATTTTAAAGTAAGGTCTCCAAAATTTCCTTATTAGCTTTTTCATCACCAAGAAAAGATACTATCACAGATTCTTATATCTTGTAATCTGAAGTTTTCCTCATTCCTCTTCTTTCTTCTACAGTTATATGCAATTATTGGATGCATGCTAAGTTGAATATAGCAATCTTCAAAGTTCATGTAGGGTCAGCATTTTTTGTGTTCCTTGAAAGGATTTTCCTTTGGCTTATGTAGGAATATCAGAAACTTATATTTTGCTTTTTTAATAATTTTTTTCATAACATGGTAAATGCCATCATCAAAACCCTTACCAGTGTCTTTGTGGTCCAATGGTATAATTTGTGATTATACTTTTAAAGTCCCTGATGTTGCTTCTCGTTAATTTAGCAAAGTGTATTTTCAAATAATACAATTGCCCATGTGTGTGTACTTCACAGAATATTTATGAACTGTTGTATATCTACCTGCATCACTCTGTAGTTAGCCTAAAGAAAATAATTGGAAATTTTAGAAGGGAATTAAGCAAACTATCATTTGAAATAAAATAGAAAGTGCAAAGGGACAGAAAAGAAGGAGGGAAAACCCAAAGAGGAAGAAGGCTTGCTTGAGTAACACAAGTCACTGTTCCATGACTGTGTGTTTTTTACTGGATGCATTTGTAAACAGTACATTGGTACCAACAGTAGAACCCTGCTAACAAACCTCCTGGTAACTCATTCAAGATCAGATTTTCCCATGACTAAATTTTCCAGTCATTTACTATAAGCTAACTTAAGACTTTCTTTGTTTCACTTGGGAGTTTGAATGTACAGGGTTTTACTATATCTTAGCCAGCACTGAAGAGTGATACTGTATGTTGTTTGGTCCCATACACCTGTATCTTTGATGTTTTCAAACTTCCAAAATTTCTTGGTTTTTGAGACAAGAATTGTCTTGACTTTCATTTTCTAATTCTGTTTCTTTCAGGGTGAATTTGTTATTGTCCATGTGTATATCAAAAATTTTATCACACTTGATACAGTCCTTTATGAAGATGAACTTGGAGTTAAATTTTCCACCAGGTTTGTTATCACATGTGTCAATAATTTTTCTCTATGCTTTCAGCACTCAAAGTTGGAACCATTTTGGTCACCATGGCAAATGAAATATGTATTTGGTGACTAAAATTTTGACAGTATTGTTGTTTACTGGTTGATGCAATTACTTTGGATGTTGGTTGTTGAACTCTATCAATTAATTTGTTTTACTGGATATATCCACAGGGAAAAATCATTTCTAAAGATGTACTCTGGTACATCAGAAAGGACTTTGTTTTTATGGAATCTTCGACTCAGGTTTGCCACAGATAATTTTTATAAATTTATGGTAATTTGAGTGACTGTCTTCTAATGTCTTCTTCAGTACATATCACCCACAAATCAAATGAGCATGTATGTAAAGTGGTGGAAATAAATGAAATAATCACTAATTTTAGGAATCTCTTGATTGTCAAACAAATTCTCCTTGTTACTTCCAGGGGGAATGTAAAAAGAACAGTTTGGAGAATATGATTACCAATTTTAGGTTGTAAAGTGTTCAAACTTGACTTTGATTTATTCTAGTGCTGTGTATTTTGAGCTCTGTGGCTACTTTTTTTAACAATTTTTTATCAAAGCCTGCAAGTCACTTTGTTTTTACTTAGAACCCTTGATGCCTACATGTACATGTAGACACCATGTACACCTGTAGTGTGACAACACAACATCTACTGTCCTGTAGTGTTTAGTGATCACTGACGACAATTTACAAATAATTTTCTTTTATGTTACCCCCACTGATAACAGATCACTGACGATTAAACTTGAGTCACAGAACGATACATTTAACACTATTGAGTGATTAGTATTCTGTGATAGAAGAGAAATTTTGTACTCTGCTTTCCATTATAATTACTATAATCACATCACCTGTGAATGAAAGGAAGCCTTTCTCCAATGTTGTCTTTGTTATGGTCCAAAACATTTTAGGGTGATTGTTCTGAATTCAAGAGATAAGGATTTTAGTCTAGTCATGTTGTCTGTACTGGTTTTGTCTTATTTTTCTTCAACTATGCAGAGTAGTTGTTTATGATGGCTTTGTCTTGTTTTTTTTCTCTGACTGTGCAGAGGGAAAGTTGATGTGGAAACCTCCCAGAGCAGAGTTTCAAAAGCCTTTCTTGAATTTTCATTAAAAAAGACAAGTCCTGGCCGATGGAGTGGTTTGACACAGCCACATATCCCAGGTAGATAGAGTAGATACTGTAGATATCCAAGCTTGATCTTATCTTGCAGTGCTAACAGGCACATTTTTGAGAATATGGAATATATTTTGACAAATATATTCTATATTGTTGTGTGTCTGTTCAGTAATGGATTACATATGGACTCAAAATATGGTATGAACAAAAACATGGCACACAGGGTGCATTTGCATGTGTCACCCATGTTCTCACAACGTTTTAATGTTTTCTGTGATATATTACTTTAGAGAACCATGGCAACATGGAATCTATTTGTTTTATACAATAGAAAAGCAAAAGCTTATAGTGGTGACCTCATCCACACATGTCCTCTTATAGGGTATTGGTTAGAACTGATCAAAATGTGTGTAGGGTTCAGCTTATCATATAGTTAATTTTAATTTACTTACCTCTACTTACTTTAACTGCTAGAGATCATGCTGACTAAGTTGTCTTCCAAAAGTTTGTCAAAGATATTGTTGTCATACTGAAGTTAATCTTCAACTCCCAAGATCAAATTGTTAATTCTCCCCTCTAGCTGCAACACATTTCCTTGTAAGTAAGTTACAAGAATTTGATCAAGGTAACAACTTCTACCTGATAAGTTTGAGTATTCTCATTACCTGCTTGCAGGTTAATGTATGGATATTGTAGGGAGAAGTTACATTAATCTCTTCTGGGAGTTGCACTGTAAAGGGTTAAAATGAAATTACACTCAAATGTAATACACCTTACTAAAATGTCATTTTTTCATTTCTTTTTTTCAGGAAATTTAGAGAAAAGTGATTTGTCAATTGATAGGCCCTTCAAACAGCTATTTAAAATTGGAAACCATGATATGTGTCCTGGGTCAATGTCCAAAGAACCAATAACCAATGGGATTCATGAGAATTGTAACAGTGGAAAGAACACTGAGGCTGCTCTGCCAAATGAATCAACAAAGAACATAGCTATGGAAAGTAAAGAAAAGATAGGTGAAGAAGTTGTTACCAGACCTGAGGAAAAACTTCCTCAAGGTGGGCATTCTGCGACATCAAAGGAACCGGACTGTCCTTTGACAAGTGGGTCTTCTGTGTCTGAGAATCCTTGTGACTCCTGTGGATCTTCAGATAAGGAAAGTGCCAACCTAGGTTTTGTTGAGGAATGTATACCAGGAGCTGTTGATAGCGATGACCTATTGGAAAATTGTGATTCAAAAACTTCACCGCAATCTCAACCTCTGTCAAAAGATCGTGAAATTAGAACTCCACATGCACACAATGAATCATCAAATGGGAATGCAACTTCAGACAGACCTGTGGAAACAGAGGAGACAGATCAGGATCTGTACTCTCAGGTTCAACATGTGGCAGGGACCTCTACTGCAGAAAGTCTGACAACTTCATTCAGTACTCTTTCCACTTCTGTGCAACCTAGTACATCAACGTCAACCCTTCCTTCTGTGTCACCATTTGACTCAAATTTTAGATCAGCAGGAGAGACAACCGTACCTCCACCACCTCCCATACCACCTCCTCCTCCATCATACACCCCTGCTGTGCAGGGATGTGGTGATGGCCAAGTTAAAACTGGAGTTATGGGTGGAAACAAAAGTAATATTAATGACCTTCCCTTCAGTGACGCCATTAAAGCAGCAACATCCAAGGGTGCTAGTGGCAGTAGTTTTGATGATGATGATGATTATTATTCTGATCAGGAGTTGTCCTATTTCGGCCTCACAGGGTTGGAAAACTTGGGAAATACCTGTTATTTGAACTCCATAATCCAATGCTTAGCTAACACAAGACCTCTTAGGGACTTCTTCCTTGGTAAGTTTTGACAATATTGTACAGGTATCCATCAACCACTACTGTTTGTGGCTCAAATGGATGCTAGAAACCCTGTAAAGTTACTAATTTACACACAACTCACACCATCATGCATTATTTTCTGATTTGCTCAAATCCACTTGTAAAATGTGAAATTGACTTTAGTTAGTAACTGATTGGATATCACAGTCAAGATTATGATGGTTGGGATTGTTGTATACTCAGGTGAACAGTTTAAAGAGGACATAAACACAGAAAATCCATTGGGCACAGGAGGAAAGCTTGCCATCATTTTTGCCAACCTAATGAGTAACTTGTGGTCTGGAAAGGATAGATCTCTATCACCATACAAACTAAAGGTAACCAAAATAAAAAAGAATAGGTATGTGTACATGACTGGGTATATCTTTGCCATTCCTTGCTAACCAGTTTCATTATTGTTGTTTTTATTCATGCTGTTTTGGTGTTTTTCTGCTCAAACAGATGGTTGTTTTAAAATTTTTTCTCTCTTAATAAATCTGTCAAAATAACTTACTGTAAGTTGTCCTGTAGATTGTTGAAAACTGAAAGAATGGAGTGCAAAGACAATTATACTTTTTTTTTAGACCAACACTGGCAAGCGCCTCCAGAGTTTTGTTCACTCTTCCTGAATTAATACCTCACTGAACATTTCTTGTAGGGAATTGTGGGTGAGAAAGTCTGTCAGTTCAAAGGGTTTATGCAGCAGGATGCTCAGGAATTCATGGCCTTTTTATTGGATGGCCTTCATGAGGTAAAAGATGTAAACAATTTTTTTTCTGGAACCTCCAGTAGGTGTAGTACATAAAGCAACCTTACATGTTTTTTCAAAGCAATCCATATAAGGATTTTGATGAGTCACTCTCAACTGTTAGTAAAATAATAAATTGTAAACCTGTATGCTGCAGATAAATTTGAAACCATTTGCTCTAAATCCTACACATCCTGTGGCTTTTAACGTGCATGGGATAATTTTTTAGGATCTTAATAGAGTTAAGGAGAAGCCCTATGTGGAAGAGGTGGAAGGAGCTGGGAGGCCTGATGCTGAAGTTGCAAATGAAGCGTGGAAGAGATACAAGAGCAGGAATGATTCAGTGATTGTAGATTTATTCCAAGGACAATTGAAATCCAAACTCACTTGCCCAGTGTGTAAGAAGGTTAGTTTGGAGAATGGTGGAGTCGATTGAAGTGGACTTCAATGATCTTTAAGTCCATCAAAGATGCACACTCGAAAAACTTTCAACAAAAGTACTTTGTTCCAAAGAAAGAATGGGAGGCTGCTGTGAAAAGGATACTTTACACGTAATTCTTTCCACGTTTCATGCAACCACCACATTATGCACTACGTGTATATGTTTTGATTGGTCAATTTAGCTGGTAGTATTGTAAAATCAGATATATTTAAAGTTAAGAGGAATTTTGTTTTCAAAATTTCTCCGTTTTAATAGTCAACTGTTCTTACCTGTTGCAAGCAGATGGAAATTCAGAACTTTTGTTTCCTTTAAATTGTGCGTTAACATGTGCTAAATAGTTGAAAATTAGTCCAAATGGATTTGTTTTGCTGTCAACATGTATGAGTCATTCAAGCCTTCTAATCATTTCCTGCTCCCTTTAATTTAGGGGCAACTCAGTCTATGAATTGCAGAACTCAGTTTATGAGAAATTGTATACAATAAATCACTTATTTATTTAAATTTGTTTTCTAGATTTCTATAAAATATGATCCCTTTATGAATCTGTCTGTACCACTGCCAAAAGACCAGAAAAAGCTGCCTGTGTATGTTTTCTTCAAAAACTACAACAGAGTTCCTCTCAAGGTAAAGAGGGGTGTAAGGTTTAATTTTTCATGGATTTATTTTCTCAAAACCAAACTGGCTTCAAAAACTTTAAACCAGGGGAAAATAAAAGTGACACGTACATGCTTTAATTCAAATTTTTATACATTGATTTTTTTATTATTATTGTACATTAATATGCTTTAATTTTATTTGTCAGGTGCAAACCAATTTCACCATTGATTTTTTATTTAGTTTTGTTTATCTGTTAGTATTAACCATTGAGTTTTTGATATACACTGTAAATGAATCTTTCAGTGTCCTCTGTCGTTGTTTAAACTGACGTGTCCAGTTTAGACACAAATGGGTAACTTTTTCGTTTTCATTTTAGATTGGGGTGAAAGTCGCTCTGGAAGCGAACGTCGAGCAGTTAAAGTCTGCCGTAGAAAGAATTACTGGAATTCTACCTGATCATGTAAGTGACTGTTTTTGTAAGCACGGTTACTGATAAACCAACCGTGTAGGTGCACTGTAGACGATTGTTATTTAAAAACGTTCATGTAAAGTAAGAGTATTTAAAGCATCTCAAAGTCTGTCAAAGGGATAACGTGTGTAAAAATGCTTAAAATGTCTCTCCTAGCGAAGGTTAGCCATGTTGCAAGTTAACGAATCGTCTCGCATCAGTGATAAAAACTCTCTTTCTTCCACACGCCACGGTTCGCTTACGTCAATCTCTGACGCCTCATTCAAGCTATTGTTGTTTGGAAACACAGGGGTTTCGTTAGCAGTCGGTTTGTCGGGTAGATCTATCCGTTTGTAATGTGCTGGCTACTCGTTTGTAGCTGTTAGCCCTTTGTTAGAGCGACTTCAAGGGCTGCCGCTCGAAACGTCAGCCTTTAAACTCTTTACGGTAGCCAATTTACGTTTTCAACTCAGTTGATAACACTAAATCACCCTGTTATACTCTCCCACAGACGCAGCACCAGTTTCTCTAAAAACTTGCCAGCTTGCTTTTATAACTTACTCATTTGCACCATGATTTTAAAGAAACGACCTAACAAAAATTAATGCGCAACTTTATACTACAATTAGCGGCAGACTCCCTTGGTATACTTGTTTCAAGACGATAACTTCACATAAACTGTACATAAATGTGTCCTTTTTGTTATTACTGTTACACAGATGAGAGTTTATGAAGTCTTTAGAGGGAAATTTCACCGCGCATTTGAAAAAGCAGCTAGCTTGTCTTCTCTGATGTCAAATGACATTATAGTTGTGTAAGTACTCATTAGGGTTAATTCAGAGGTCTTAGTGAGCAGGATCCTCGGAAAGTTTGGAAGAGATAGCTTGGTTTCTCAAACATGTGGCTTTTAATTATTACTTGTTAGGGTTAAATCTGAAAGCTTAGTGGCCAGGGTCCTCAGAAAGTTAGGAAGAGATAGCATGGTCTCTCAAACAGGTGGCTTTTAATTCAGGTGACATAGGTACGAAGTCCCCGGAGGAGAAGGGGTTGGGTTCATATTCCGCCAGTGAACGTTTGGAAATTTTGGGGCTTTGAAGTTTATTGTATATACACACTCTCATGTATGTAAAGTACTACAATGTGGCAGTTAATTGCCAAGGAAAAAGGGAACGCCCCTGCTTGAAATACGAAGAGAATCTAAAACAGTGGGAGAATGTAAGCGAAAATTTTATCGGTAGATTGTGACGCTCAAGAAATAAGTGTGATTGTAAGGTTTTTTGGACAGTAATCGAATTTTCTTACAATTAGTTGTTCGCTAAAAGAGAAACCCTAGCATTAATCCAGTTGCAATGTGTTGATACTGTGTTTGTGCCTATGCAGAAATTAGGAAGCTTTTCGCAGTGTAGAAACGCCATTTTGTACGTTAAGCTAGTAGTATGTCTTTACGTTTGTCAGATCGAAGGTGCTTATACTGTGTTTATTTCGTTGTAGTTATGAAGTGCTCAGTGAAGAGGAGGCGGGCGAACCAGTGTATGAAGTACCAATAATACAGGTATCACCTCTAAGTTCCGAAAGCTAACCCTCCGGACCGACTATAATAGATTTCTCTGTAAAGTATGCTTGAGACGAGGCATACTCTCCGGAATTGTAACTGTCACGGTTTTAATATGCACTGTCCACAGGGCAGTGTAGTCTGGCCCACTTCTGGTATTATGGCAAATCGTTGTACAGGCTTTGGTTTTTGGGGAGATCGACCAAACGATAGCCCCTTTAAAGTAGATTTTTTCCATTCTTTCTTTCCCTTAATCCTCTTGGAGGAGGGCAACTTAAGGATCTCTCGAGTTTGCTCGCAAGGAAAAAGACAAATAATGATATTTAAAACAAAAACGACAGTCGAAGTAAAAGGCAGATAGAAATGGTTTGTTGATGGCTTATTGGCACGAGAGAGAGTTTCTTTGAGATGAAATAAAACTTAGAGTTCGAGCAGGCCGGTGTTATTTACTTATTTTATGTTTTTATTTTCGCAGAGAACAGTGTGCCCACGAGTGATGCCCTCTCATTGTGCGAGCTGTTACAAGCGCCCGGGGCCCAATGACACCCTACGGAGATGCACTCAATGTTGGGGAATAGGATATTGTAACCAGTAAGTCAAAGGAAAAAAGAATGTTTTATTGTCTTACTTCTCTGTACCTTGAGGTATTCCCTTCTTTTCCATAGCGCATCCTGCTTACGCTTCATTTTCATGCGTGAGCAGCGCGTGCGCAAGAACAAAATGGCAACTTTCATCACAGTGTTCTCATGCGCCAACAGTCGGTGTTTTTAGCCAGTTACTCGTTTTTGAAGCGCGAACCATTGCTGCATAGAAGGAAAGAAATTGTAACGATCTGAGAGAAATTTTAACCTTTGCTGGTTAGTGACTTTTTATGGCTGTCTACTCAACTGAAAATTTTCTGTAGAGGACAGTTATTCTGATTATGGCCGGATGTCCGCCAGGGATGTAAATCGCGATTTTCTCGTAAACGAGTTCAGTGGCCCGTAATCAACAGGTGCGAGGGGATAGGGATGGATGAAGAGGACAGGGGGACGTGATGCGAGGAGATAGAAGTCATTTTATCAACCACTCTTTTTTGTGTTATGCAGACGATGTCAAAAAGATCATTGGACAGCTCATAAAAAGGTCTGCAAAAGGCTACCTCAACCCATTGGATTGCCCTTCGTCATCAGCATTCCTGCTTCAAAGGCCACCTTCAAACAACTACAAGTTATGGCTGAAGAGTATGCTAAGTATGTCGAATCTTGACTTTTTACTTCCATTTTGATATGGTTGTTGTTGTTTTTTTGCATTTCACTGCACTGCATCAAAAGTTATAATTATGATTTTCAATCGGAATTTCTGCTACTTCCTTGTAAATGACGGGCATATCAGGTTTAGTCTGACAGTACTAAAAAGGGGCCGCCACTTAATGCTAAGGTGGAAAAACACGTGGGAGACATTTTTTTCACTTGAATTACCAAGATACGGCACATATTAATATGAATGAGCATTGAAATGTTTTGTTCTCGTTTTTTTTCCGTTTCTGTTTTTATGTTTATTTTTGTTTTGTTCTGTTTGTTTTTTTGCGGCAGGTATTCAGTAATTATTCAGCCTGGTGATAGTAGCCAGCAGAATTCGCCAACAAAAGGTGACACATCTACCTCAAGAGTTGACTCTGGTGAGTCAAACGACGAGAAAATTGTTTTATATCTGGGTTGAAATGTTGCCTTATCATCCTGTGCCAACATTGTCTCTGGTGCAAAACCTCTACCTCTGAGCTCGAGTATATCCGTCGATCGTCATGCATTCCTTAGAGTCACCATCTACAACATAACTTTCTGTCAACAAACAGTGTTCTACCTAAGGGAATAGCATGTATTTTGGCCCCACAGGGTATCTAAAAGGTTGCTGCTTGTATTCAATTGAATCCTTAACCTTCTCATTACGTTAACTTGTTCCCGTTGCTAAGGCATTGACGAAATCGTTTGAATTCTTTCTTTAGGCGTTACCTGTGTGGTGGGTCCCCTTAAAGGCAACATGCCCAAGTTCTACATGAAGCCTGTCACAGCGTTTGGAGATGCTCTCGTTGGACAAGAGGGAAATCGCCTTTCAGATGAAGGTACATTAAATTGTTTGAGGCATTTGTAAAGAGCGTTGGAACATGAAAAAATTCTGGTTTCCCCACGTATTGTCAAACCTTAGACCTTCTGATTTTGTGCTCGGCGAGAATTACACATACCTCCGTGTCGAGTAAGGGGTAATACCATTTGATTCATGTGAAAAAGAATAACAACAACAAAAATAGAAATAACAACTTGAACAACAGCTAGGGCATCGTCATCATCAGCAAAGGCTGTTTTAAATGCTTTTTCAATGGCTCTTTCTTACTACAAAATAAAAGGAAAACGTAAAAAAGGGTCGTGTTGTACCATGTAACAATAATCTTTTTTACTGCAACAGGATCAACGCCGCTGAATTTGGAAAACAAATACATTTCAATTGACTGGAGGAATTATCCACGATCACCGGATTTTGTTGACGTGGACGAAAAAAAAGACTGGGTATGTTAGGACCTAACTTGACCCTTAAACTCCCGTGAGAGACCAAAACAGAATTTCTCTTTACAATATCTATACAATATCAAACAGAGAAGTGACGAGAATAAGGAAAAATATCAATTTAAGAGATTAGTAGTTGATCCAACACTAAATTCTCCGAACTAACATCATAAGGCTTGTATGGCAGACAGTGAGGAGAATTAAGGAGATCTTGGGAGTGAAAGAGTTAAACGTACAGTTCTATATCACCAGTTCGCTATGCTTTGTTTTGAGTATCTGTCTCCACTTGAAAGTGTACGGGATATACTTGACAAGAACACATGTCACACACTTTCAGATGTTAACTTCTTGTTATTTTTTAAAGTTATTTTCAGGGTTAGCCTTAACTAAATGTTTCCGAGAGAGAATTGTTAAAATATTATTTTGCTGAAAACGTATCAATATTCTGTTGAAAGCAATAATTTGATGATTTCGTCTAGCAAGAACGGTTTCGTCAGTGGTAGCTCATCATGGGTATATTTGTCGCATTTACTAGCCTTTTTCACTTTATTTCAGGATTTCGAAGAACATCCGTCATTCAAATCAATAATGATGTCAGGTGAATAGTTGCCTTGATTATTTTTGACTCGAGTTTTTCAAATGTTTTGTTACAAAGCGTTTTCAAATCCACTTTATTACACTGAAAGAAATATTTCTCTTCTTTCTTCAGAGCCGTACAGTTGTTCTTTAAAACAGTGTCTAGAGCTGTTTACAGAACCCGAGACATTGAGTGAAAATGACGCTTGGTAAGCCGGCTTTCCTCTTAGGAATGTTGCTCGAGTGTCTCGATGGTTTGATGGCTTTTATGGTTAACGGTTACAATTTTTAGCCATTTTATGACTAACAGTACAGCTCCCTTCCATTGTACATTAAAGGAATATTTTTACGGTTAACTTTTTTTTTTACTACCAACGATTAAAATGTGTCAAATTTTACACCTAACGGCTAAATTATTTGGCGCTTTTATGGCTAACGGTTAACGCCACTGAGACCCTCTTGCTTTCGCCGTTGATATTTACAAAGCATATGAAATCTGCGTACGAAATTGACTGTTGCGCATGTGAGTAAGGCTTTGCTCGCTGATTTGCAGGTACTGTCCTCAGTGTAAAGCCCATCGTGAGGCCACTAAGCAGTTGTCAGTGTGGCGTTTGCCGGAGATACTTATCATTCACCTGAAGAGATTCTCCTTCCGGAACATCTTGTTTAAAGACAAGATAACGAAATTAGTCGAGTTTCCGTTAAGGTTGGTGAATTTATTTATACGTTGCATGAGAACTAGCGACATCCATGCTTTTTTAAGGAATGTTCTGATAACATTACCCGCAGTTAAGTGAAATTTTGCGAGACTATTTCATCTGTTGTTACTTTTTTTTCCGGTTGAGATGATATTTCAAACAAGTCGGGTCAGAGCCTTTTTCTTTTATGATGTTGTCTCACTCGTGTTATCTCCAGTTATCTCTCTTCTGAGAGTGTTTCGTAATGTAATAAAGCAAGGCGCAGCCAGTTCTCTGACACTTTCTTTGTTTTATGAAGCTTTTGTCTCCGTTGGCAAAGCTAAATGTCTTAGCTAAGGATTTAGAAAAGTTTTTATATTTCCGATCATTAGAGAAACTTTTTTTTTTTTTTTCGTCGCCGTTATGTTAGGGGCCTGAACATGTCTCGCTTCACTCTTGGTAAAGATGACAACGAAGAATCATTGTACGATTTGTTTGCCGTTGCTAATCACAGTGGAACAGTCAGCTTTGGTCATTACACCGCAGTCGGTCGGCTGGCAGAGGCAGACCATCCTACCAACGGACTGAGTCGTGATGGCTTGGGTTTGTACACACATTGTTGCTCTCACGTTGTGTGGGAATGGATAGGGCGGGAAAGGGGGTCGATGTACACTGCGTGAATGGTGCTAAAAATAATTGAGTGTCTAAGTCGTTGCTTTTGAAGTTTAATAATATACATGAAAAAATTACTCAGTTCTGATTGGTTAAGATAAATGCAGTTTTCAGGTAATTCAGTGCAGAAGAGGGTTAATTCAGTGCAAAGAAAGAAACAAATCAGACATTCTGATCGGTCAATAATCAAAGAAACTCACAGACAGCCAATCAAATGCGAGCCTTGGATGTCGCAACAAATTTGAAAATTTGCGAGCGAAACAATGGCTGGCGTTTTAGGTAGGTTTCCTTTCGCCACCGCGGCTGAAAAACAGCTCAAACAACGAAAACACTGTAAAAAGCACTGCTTTTTGGTTGTCGGTTTGGAAAAAGTGGTGTTTAGAGAAGAGAATTGCCAAGGAAATCGAAAATTACAAACCGACCCAGCTTAACACTTTGCTCGAGCAATCCAACGCCGAAATTAAAAACAAACATGGTTAAACCTCGGAAACGACGGTTCCATTTCATCGAAAGTGATTCGAACACAGACTGAACAATTCCTTGAACTGTTTAGCCGGACTTTGAACTCTTTTGTGCCTTGAAGATGTGAAGATATCATTGCATATTATTGTTTTGATCGTACGCGGTTGTTTTGACCGAACGCACAGTTTGAATAAACTATTTTTGCACTTGATGCGCGTGCTTTGCTTATGCTTAATGATGATAAGCCATCTCGTATTTTTTCATGTTTATTATAAACACGTAATCACATGACTTTTCTTGAGCAATTTGGAATAAATAAGCACTTATTAATTTTTTCAAAGACCGCAAATTGCACTCGCCCTACGGGCTCGTACAATTTTATTAGTCTTTTAAAAAATTTACTCGTGCTTATTTATTCCAAATTGCACTCGAAATCATGTGATTACCTATACAAACATATTTGATTATTATGGCAAAATCAGCGATCAAGACGACGTTGAGAAATAATGACGACTATGACAGGTTGAGAGATTTAAAACCACGCTTGCTTGAGCAGTAGTTCAACTTTAAGAAGCGCAACAACTGCCAACGTTTTTGGGTCTAGTGTTTTATTTAAATGGCACAGTGGCGAGCATTAGATACGTAGCCTTAAGCAGTTGTGTAGGGCTGAAGTAGGTCAGAGAGTAATCCCGAGCGTAAAGAGCGGAATGAAGTATAGTATGCCCTGCCCTAGTAGCAAGTGTTACGTAATTTGCAGCTGTAACCTGGTGAAGGTGTATCTGTGATATGTGTTTTGTTTTTGTAAAAATCAATTTAACTTGCGTCTTTTCACCTCACAGTACTTGGTTTTACTGATTTTCATCTCATTTCCACAGGTTGGCGTTATTTTGATGACCGGCATGTCACGGAGACCCATGAGGAACGCGTCGTGTCCAAGTACGCTTACGTGTTGTTCTACAAACGGCGGCCCACTGCTAATGACTTTGTAAAACAACTTAGCACCCTGGAGCAAGCTGAAGAAGCTGAACAAGCTGTTGATACCAAAGAAGAAAGCCTAGAGGACATTGACGAGAACGAGCTAGATTGAAGTACATTTGTAGAGTACCTTGTGTAAATGGCTCACTAAAAAGTACAACCTGTAACCCCATGTAGATGGATATCTTAGCGCTAGGTTACTATGTATAACAAAACGAGCTAGATTGAGCGAGCTAGATTGAAGAACATTTGTAGGGTACCTTGTGGAAATGTGTCGTTAAAACTACTATCTGTAGTCCCATGTAGATGGATATCTTGCCGCTAGGTAAGTATAAAATTATGAACTGCGGAAATAGCTTTAAAAAGTACAGCTTTGTATTCATTCAGCGAGGTGATGAACATGAAGCGGAAAAATAGGGCTCCACTGAAAGTTTGTATATCTTAGTTGACCAGGTTTAAGGAAACTTCAGTTCGTTTAATGCATGCTTGTAGTTAAGTTCGTTGTATATTTTGTTTCCCAATATAAATGTCTTGCATATTTTGCCTTGGTTTAAAAGTCTGCATCTTCTTGTCTAGCTCTGTATGCTTATATGTACAGTTAGGGATTTGAAGTTCGCGATATTTCGAGTTCAGCTATTTTTGTGGTAAGGAAGAATATTTTTAATACTTGGGCCTATTTGGTTCTTTTATTTCTAACTTACTCTAATTGTTCGAACTAGATGGATTAAGCTTCTTTAAGTTATAGTTATTAAAATTATTCGCCACAGCCCTATGGTACAGTTTAGCAGACGTAGGGGAGCGTGTGGCACCTTTCGAAGGATTCCCGGTAGGTTAGGGTGGGGGAGTTGGAGGTATCTCACAGTTCTACTCATGAAACTGATTTGTAGTGAAACTCTACAGAAGAGAAAGGGGAAAAAATGATGAGGAAAAGAGCAGCGGAATTTGGGAGCATGATTATAGGATGATCATCCAAATATCAACGAGGGAAAATGTTTATTTGCTTTATAAATACCGGAAAATTCATCTTATTTGGGTTTTTTTTTTTTTTTTTAATCGGAGTGATTGTCGCTGATAGAAAGCTTCTCAGTTCTCAACCAGTTAACTCGTTCTCTCTCGGTCAGTTATTGCCGTGAGAAATACATACGGAGAATTGAACGCGATCAAAATTTGTAAAGAAGAACAGAATGACAATTAAAAGGAAAGCATAGGAAGGTGCGATTAAGTGCAAAGAAGCAGTGGCTAAATAAGGTTACTTCCTTTAAGTAAATAAATAAATGAACGTTTATTCCTTTGTCTCTCAATGTACAGTTAAGAGTCCGTTCACTTCATTTTTCGCTTCATCCCGATTGTTTTTGTATCCAATAAGCCACGTGCTTCAAATAGGACTTTTCCACGCAAAAACATCTCATGATTTTCTCGCGCTCGGCTCATTCGAAGTCTGACAAATTTTTTGTAGTACTGAAAGTCTCCTTGAAAATAAACAAAGCACGCGGGTTGCTTGTGACACACACCAAACTGGGTGAAGCGTTTCAGAATGCGTTGCGTGATCGCCAACACCTATTCCGAGGATTTACCGAACAGCTTTAAATCTCTTAGTCATAGGAAAAGTACTTTTTTATTTTTTTTATTTTTTTTATTTTTCCAGAGAATTGCATCGTATTGTTACGTAACCGCACCTATTCCGGTATACCTATTCCGAGGACTTACCGAACAGCTTTAAATCTCTTAGTCACGGGAAAAGTACTTTTTTTTTCCCCTAGAGAATTGCGTCGTATTGTTGCGTAACTGTACATCGTCCATCACTTCTCTTACATGGTCTCTCTTACATGGTCTTTCTTACCAGGACACTCTTCGCAATACATTCAATCAAAAATGCACTCTGAGGATTTCAAAAATAAATAAATAAATGATTAAAATGTACGCCACACGCCGCCAACATGTGTCCGGGGTAAGGGTGTGATGGTTAATAAACAACATTCTTGACAACTACATATCCCAAGAGATTCCTTTCATTTCGTCACGCATGTTGTTGATTTTGGTTGTTTCTGACAGCAATTTCTGAAGAATTTTAGCTAATAATTCGAGTTACACTTGCCTGTCTAGAAAAATTTCATTTAAGTCATTAATCTATTTATATATTTGGTGATTATCTTATTAATTCTTTGGTGATTATCTTATTAATTCTTTGGTGCGTGTCTAGACTAGGCCTAGTCACGTTTCACGCAATCTTCGTGACGTTTACAACCATATATGGCTGCGGTAGTATTTTATTGGTTGCGGTCGAATGTTCGCGATCTTTGTAGCGAACTACATACATGTACACCAAAATTGCTCAAGGCGAGAAGTAATCCAAGAGCTCTTCCAAAATAAGGATGCGTTTGGACTTAGAAAAGATCAGTGACTGATTAATTCGCCAGCACTCTTGTTTTTCTTTGCTATGGCTGCGAATCTTCCCTACGAAATAAGCAAGTTCCAAGAGCATTCAAGGCTACTGAAGCAGATAAAACGAGACACGAACCGATACTTTCAGGAAATTCAAGACTCGGGACAATTCAGTCAAGACGTCTTATCTGCATATCTTCCAGAAAGCGACTATCAGTCCTTAGCGGTTTGTGAGAAACCTCCCACTATCATTGTAATAGGACAAACATGCTTCGCCAAAGTCTGCGTGATCAACGAGTTGCTTGGGGAACCCGTTCTTCCCGTGGTTGGGGAGTTAGACAGTCGCACATCATGGCGAATGATTCGATTAAAGTACGGGAACATCTCAAACGTCAGTCTAGTTCTACCGGACAGTTTTGAATTAGCAGCGAACCTTAACGCCTATGAAGGCTCGTGGGAATGTGTTCCAAGAGCTGATCTCGAATTGACTGAAGTACAAAGAGACGATCCAGCCTTGGCGACTGCTGTTGCTGAAGTTTCGTTAACGCATCCCTTATTGAAAGCCGGAGCAGAGTTGGTGTGTTCCCCCAGCAATCACGAGGGCGACATCGACAACATATTCCGGGCCTGTTGCGAGGATGTGCTTCCAATTGTTCTTTACGCGATAGAATTTGATGTTTTGACAGAGAAGGTAGGTTAGAATTTTATTGTGGTAATCATGCCTGTAATTATCCACATTTAGTTCACGTGCGCGAAGACGCGATCCGAAAAAGCTGCTTACAGTAATATTCTAATTTCTTTCACTCTTTCAGTAGGGGATGTTGTTAGAAATACATTTGTAGAGGCAAAGGAAGCTCAAGATAAATATACATTTAAGTTTTGTTTTCACCCTAAACATTCGAACGTGGTAATCTATGGGGTTACTCTTAAAGAGATCACTACAACATGAGATATATGTGCCTTTTAACTCTATTGTCTTTCATTATCACCGATCATAACAAGTTTCGATCAATTAAAAATAATCACCTTTTGGCTTCCCCTATGAAGGAAAACCTTTACCCAAAAAACTGGCTTTGAGATAAGAATTGGTGTAAATTATGTTGTGCGTTTGCTTTGAATGGAATTAGTGGTATTTTATTAGGGTGCAGTTTTGTTTTACTTTCTTGGTACGTGCTGTAGAAATGATGTTTATTTTATGGTAGTAATTTTTATTAAGGGAAATTTCTGGTTCACGTGCTTTGAAATAAATTTGCCATCTTTCCTATCTTACGTCATATCTTCCCAGCTGTTTGTTCAAGATTGCACAGTCCCTGTTGTAAAACCTGATATCTTTTCAACACACAAGGAAGTGAACTTGTACCACAAGTGGAACATTTTTAAAAGTTTAAGTTTTTCCATCTGTTAGGGAATCCCTCTAGATATGCTGTATAAAGAATCTTTTAATTTACCAATACCCCCCAAAAAAATGGTGTTTGTTGAAGTAACTAGATTGCCTAAGGCACAATATAATGAGGGCATGTTGTGCAAGGCTGATTGTACATGATATGCAGACAATTTACTATTTAGTACTGTCAATAACAAATTTGTAATCTAAGAAGTCTTATTGTAACTCGTTTTGGAAAAGAATTCACGTATACAGTACACACTGGTGTATTTTGAAATACATTCTATGCTGCAATCAGCTTGGGACCTGTGGTAGTTCATGTGATTGAAATAGTAATATCAAAGGTGTTTAATTACAGGTATTTTAGAATTTGCGTTCAGCTATGTATATGTATTTATTCATATATCAGTTGAACTCACTAAAATTGGCCTCTGCAATTGTATTTTTTTTCTCACTTGCTCTGTTTCTGCTTTCCTTTTACCCTTTAGAGAGCATTTCTCCTTATTTTTATCCATCAAGCAGTTTTTCAGATATTGATGATAAAGAGGGTAGAATTTATCATGTGGTTTCTCTTTTATGTAAAGGATAAGACAGAACTCCGTCAAGTGAAGGCAATGGCACCAGATATGGCTGTGTTCTTTGTAAAGTGCAACAGGAATGCTTCTGCTGAGCTGACTGATTCTATGACTGAGTCAGGCCGCAATTACGTCATTGAGACAATGGAGCAGAGACGGGCAGATGTCAACCAAGAAACTGGATCAATACCTGGGAAGACAAAGATCTTTGAGCAGCTATGTGAACTAGGGTACTTATCACTGGAGAATGAAGAAACGAAACTGCAGGCAAATGAGCAGTCAACAAACAATTCAATGTTGACAGCCATTCGACCAAAGTCAAATCTCATTGAGGACTTCAAACTTTTCCCTTGTTTTCTGCTGTTTGTGCGGCAAGTCCTTAAATACAATGTTGTTTCAGCTGCAACTGTACTGAATGAGGCTCATGTGAGAGTGCTTGGTATGTTCATCACTACAGCCTTTGACATGGCCCGGGATATGGTGGTCACACCGCGTAGGCTGGACTATGCCAGAGAGAAGGAGGAAGATCTGTTTAATGCTCTGATGGAAAGTGCAAGCCGCAAGCAAGAGGAAATCAAAGACCTCATACACAACACTATCACCTCACTGTCGCCAGAAATCTTGGATGAAGTTGAGCATCGGACCTTTGAAGGGGTAAAAGTGCTGCCTAATGGTGAGCTTTCAAACCCAAAGGATTTGCAGTACTGTGTTACTGTTATTCAAGAGCTGGTCCTAGCAAGAATCAACAACTCTGTGGCGGAAGGATTGATTAGTTCTGTCAAATACCTCCAAGAAAATTTTGTGGGAACTTTGAAGCGATGCATTGAGTGCCTGGAGAAGATAGACAGGGATGGGGTTTATGAAAACGGAGAATCTGCTACGTCATCCCTAAGACACGTAAGTTCATAGTATGCTGTTAACCCTTTACACCCTGACGTTAGTTTCCATATTTTTCAATACTCTCCTCTGTATGTTTCCTTTGGTACAAACAAGGATAACTGGCTTAACAGTCAAAGCCTTTCGAGTTAGTGATCATTTCCTTTATCCTCATGATTTTATGAAAGGAGAAATTAGATGCTGGTCCCTCTTAGGGCTCAAAAGGTTTTATGTAACTGTTACACGTTTCTGCCCAATGGAATGGCTAATTCTGTCTTTTGGCTGCCTAGCTAAATTTTCCTGTGCTATATTTCATGACTAAAAAGCCTCAAGGTTAGGTATTGCACAAGTCTTGTCACTTGTTTGCTGTACAAATACTTTCATTACTTAAAGGTTTGACCCAGCATTTCTCAATTAATCATGAATTAAAGTATCTGTTAGAGGGATTGAAACATGAAATGCTGGTGCTGTGCATCTACATATAGAATGCAACCAAATGCTCTCCTTGCATGTTTCAATGCAATGACCATGCAGATGCTTATCAGAATTAACTAACTGACCTTCTAACTCCTATTAATGACCAAGACAGAATTTTTCCTGACAATATCTATGAGAATGATAGAAAAAATATTAATCAGGGGATTGTTAGTTGATCAAATATCTACTTCTCTGAACTAACATCAAAATAATTGTATGGCAGACAGTTAGGAGAGTTGGTAATAAGATCTTGGGAGTGAAAGGGTGAAAAGTTCACCCTGTATCAGTTATTGTGGTTACAGTTTCTGAGGATGACGATGGCTGCGTGCTTTAATAATACAATCACCTTGAAAGTACCATTATTCCACACTATATCTGAGGTTATACATTTTGCTCCCTTTTTTGATAGGTTCTAAACTCTGCATACCAAATTGAGGTAACAGTGAGAGCAAGTTCCTCTCTAGCTCGGCTTTTGTGGGAAAAGATGAAACAAGCACTTCAAACTTTCCCTGGTCAAGCTCCACCAAAGGTAGATGGTATCTGGAAGAGGAAAATTGCTCAAGACATGCTCACCAGCTTGAGTGAAACACGACTGGCCAGACACATTTGCTCCCAATTTAGGTTGCGACTTCAAAAGTCTCACGAGGCATTTGCAACATCCTTGAGAATACTTGAAGCGCATCACTCTGGGAGACTAGAGAAAACCGAGGAGAGGCGTCTACGTCTGCGGAAATGCCATGCTCCCAAGATTGCCAGACTGGCTCTGGAAAGCACCTCTCTGAGAGATGTGGTGGTGTATGGAATGCCTCAGATGGGTCGAGAGGTTGGGAGGGGACAGTATGGTGTTGTGTATTCATGTGAACGCTATGCTGGTCGTTCACCATGTGCTATCAAATCCGTTGTCCCTCCTGATGATAAACACTGGAATGACTTGGCTCTGGAATTTTTCTACACAAGGTAAGTGTTTAGTATAGGATGTACAAGCCTAATGTAGTGTTTTTGACAACAGTCTTTTGGGAAGAGGAAGAGTAACATTAGGTTAAATGTATATGGATTGCTTTCCTGCATGTACTTTCTCCCCTACTTGTTCAACAAATAGTAACCTTCCGATCCACAGTATTTTTAACCTTTGACTTGATGAGATTGGGGAAAAGAAGGTTTCCTCTTCTTCTGGGCTGGGTTATTCAAAGTTTGGTTACCATAACTCAGGATTAGTGTGAAATCTGAAATTCTTAAATATGATTATTGGATACTTTAAAAAGAATAGAGAAAATTGTCCCAAAAGGGCTTTTGAAGAAAGGAATAAAGAAATCTGTATTAAAATTTGACCCTGGGCTAGTGCTAATTGGCCTTTGAACAACTGGGCCCTACATTACACTTTGTTTCCTGATTTATAATGTCAATATCAGCCACACACCCAGAAGCACCTTTACAACTTCACCAATCAAGTATAGGTTTTTAAGTGCTGTGGAACCAGTAGCTTGTTAACTCTTTTCACCCTGATATCAGTATGCACGTTCCTCTATGCTTTTTTCTATGTGTTTCATATGGTGCTGACACGGAGAAATTTTTCAACAGTCTAGAGGTTCTTTAGTTGTTGATACAGTAGTAATATTATACTGGTCTCTATACATGTGGTATGGTGCTGACAAGGAGAATTTATTTTGTTCAAAGGTCAAGAGCTTCTTTAGCTGTTGATTACTTCATTTATTTGTTTGACCTTAAAGTTTGATTCCGTGGTGATATTATACTGTTATCTATACATTTTTGTATGGTGCTGACGAGGAGAATTTGTTCAACAGTCAAGAGCTTCTTTAGTTGCTAATCATTTCATATATTTTTGTTACCTTAATATTTGATTCTGTGGTCATATTGTAAGGAGAAATTCGATTTTGGTCACTCTTGGGGGTGAAAGGGTATGTGTCTTTTGTGTATCCTACTTCACGAAGAGACTTTTAATTTGACAAGTTTTGATCGTGACTCTCACTGTGGGTTTTTGTTCCTGCCACAGTTATTTAGGTTCATTTACGGTTTTTGTGGGAATTTCTTTAGTTTTCACTTTTATTATTTTTTTTTACCAGATCTATTCCAAAACACAACCGCCTTGTGTCCATCATAGGGTCAGTGATTGATTACAGTTATGGAGGAGGTAGTTCCCCTGCTGTTTTGTTGGTTATGGACAGGCTTCAGCGGGATCTCTATCAGGGAATCAAGAGTGGACTCCAGTACAAAAGCAGGCTGCTTGTAGCTCTTGATGTGGTGGAAGGTATCCGTTTTCTGCACAGTCAGGGACTGGTGCATAGAGACATCAAACTTAAAAATGTGTTGGTATGTAAATTGCACCATGACTGAAAAGGACAGTAGACCCTGTTGATCTTTCACAAAATCACCCAATGCTTAAAATCCCACTTCAAACGCGCTAGCTCGTGGTACTTTTCGCCATTCTATGGCTTTCAAGCCAGTTGGGGTGCCATTTTTATGCTTGTAGATTTTGGATAGTAGTACCATCATCAGGCCAGAATCGTTGTGTAGTCGAGATTAATCCACCGTAACTTGCAGGATTAGTAATTTGCGGGCAAGTCCATCTTACCGAGGCTTTTCGAGGTTTGAGTAGCATGAAGCCAATAGGGGTATTGTTGCTTCCTCTCACCTCCCATGGGCGGGATGCCAATTCATCGAACGGTCCCCTGGCACCCATTTTTACCTCTGTGAGGGGTGAGGCAACGTAAGACATCAAGTGTCGTTAAGAAAGGAGTAGGAAAACGCTTTTGTTTTATCGCGGCAACTTTGCTCGTCGATGTTACCGTTTTTTTTAAAGTTAATTCCTTTCTTTTGGATATTTTTTTGCTCGTGTAATGTTTCTGGAGTTAAGAAAGATAATTCCTTTGACGGGCCTTCAGCCAAGAGTTCGAGATTTGCGAAGTTAAGCAAGCAGGAACGTAGTCAGCTGGTTGAACAAAGACACTCGGGAAAGACTAAGGGAAAAAACAAACAAACAAACAAACAAACAAACTGGTCTGTATCAACCTTTCAAAATTCCGCAGAAGCGTTTCTTTGTAAATTTTTTTCCGGCGTGGGAAGCCATTTAGATGCTTTCGTGAAGCAAATCTGAACATGTGAGTTATATATGATAAATATATTAACACAGAAACGAAAGTCTCAGTGTTTGAAAAGAAATGGTTAACGTGCAGCGTGCAATCATCGAGTTATGAAGGCATTTGTGAGGTTTGCTAAGCACTCGAAAAGCTGTAGTTGCACTCAGCTATTACCTCATGCGACTTTAACGCTTAGGTAGGATCGGATTCGTAACCTTACCCCGTAACTCGATGGTTGCACGCTGCACACGAAACATTTCTTAATGAGTTGGGCTAGGTGCCGATGATACATTTACGTATAGTTTTTTCCTGACCTGTGATTTCTCTCATCAGAAAAACCAAGCTGCAATTTTCCGATCGAAATTTTCCGATCGAATTTCCCAACTTTTACACAACTTATTTGTCCTATCCTTGCTTGCAGTTGGACTCGAAGAACCGTGGCAAAATAACAGACCTTGGGTTTTGTAAACCAGAGGCAATGATGTCTGGATCCATCGTAGGGACACCCATTCACATGGCGCCAGAACTGTTTTCTGGTCGCTATGACAACAGCGTAGACGTGTACGCCTTTGGTGTCCTTTTCTGGTATATCTGCGCAGGTACAGTCCGCCTTCCCTTGGCATTTGAGCAATGCGCTAGCAAAGATCACCTGTGGTCGGCCGTTCGGCGTGGCGTTCGACCTGAGCGGTTGGCGAATTTTGAAGACCAATGTTGGGAATTGATGGAGGCATGCTGGAACGGAGACCCTAACGGACGACCGCTTCTCGGAAACATTCAACCGAGGCTTATTGATATCATCAAACGAGTAGAAAGCCGGCGCAGTGGCACGGTTAGGCATCAGAGAAAAGAGAGTCGACCTTTCAAAGAACTAGAGGTACTTCTTTGATTCGCCAGACTCGAGAGAAAACTAACATGTACATGATAATCGACTGGAGATTGTTTATCGGAGCAATTCAGTTAGAGGTAGCATTGAGTGTTTCCCATGCAAAGCGTCTCATTTGCCAGTGTAACATCCGCTTAGTTAAAAAATAATTTCTCATTCCATGCATCCGTTTCACTGTGGGTATTTGGAAAGACATTGTGTCGGTAAGGGGTTCAGGTGACTCGTGGAGAGGCTATTACTTCAGTAACGAGTCTGCTGTGTTGAAATTAAGAGGGGGAATGCTCGTTCTAGGTACAATCCTATTTATTGACCCCTGTCAAACAACAAAAACCATAGCGCTAGCTTGTAGACATTAATGCCAGCGCAAATTGTTTTCAGAACAGTTTCCAATTGAGTATCTTCTTAAAAATTTTTTTTTTCGAGATTGCATTTGATTTTAAGTTACACCGCCCAAAGATGGATCGACCCCGGCAGACAAACAAGGCTTCGGTGTGCAGCATTAATATTATATGTAAAAGCTAAAACCAATCAAGACATTTCCGCATTTTTTGTCGAACGGATGTGTTTTTTTGTTGTTTTTTTTGTTTGTTTGTTTGTTTTTTTTTTGAAGCTCTTGTAGGTTCCTTTTTGGTGGCCGTTGTGAGTGTATGGTTTGTTTCTAACATTCGATCCAAAAGCGTTCTTATCTTCGTTGTACGTGCGCGAGAAAACAAAGAAAAAACGAAAAAAAAAAAAAGAAAACAGTTTTATCACTGTTATCCCTTTTACTCCCATGAATGACGAAGTAGGAATTTCTTCTTACAACATCCGTTCGTTTATCAAGGGAATGAGTGATGAGAAGAAAGAGAGGGATCAATGAAGGGATGATATCCTTTGATGTAACACCAAATTCTTATTGCTCAAGTTATCAGAAATAAATGGCAGACATTGTAGAAAATTGACATGTGGATCATCTTGGGAGTGAAAGGGTCATACATTTTTAGTGTGTTGAAGACCGTAGGTAGGCATAAGTCAAAATTCGTTAGCGAGTTATAGAAGTACACCGAGATGGGAGCTACCCATCGTCCCATCTTTCATCGTTAAATTTCCTTTTGTTTTTTGTTTTATTCGTCAGACGGACTGATTTGAACCTTTTTGAATGATTTATTTTTTTTATTTGGAAACTCTTTGAATATACATATAGTCGTTCGAAATAGACGCCCATTAGATGTCTATATTTTGTAAATGCGTTTAGTACTTTGTCAGGGTTAATATCTCTAAGAGGAACATAGTTAATGAATTATCAACTGATCGAATGTGAAATTGACAATAGGAAAACTATTAAAATTATTAAACGCATTAATAGATGAATGATGGATGGAATTAAAAGGGTACACGAAAAATTGATTGAAAAATGTTAAGATGTGAGACCAAAAAAAAGGCCAAAAAGGAAAAAAAAAAGAAAAGAAAAACAGCGTCTCCATCATTCTTACTAAATATCATTCAAAAGAAAGACAAGGATTGCTTTGACTGTTACTTTCTTTTATCGTTACTCTTGAGAATCTTTGTCGGGTGTCTGCTCTTGTGTGATTCTTTAGTCATTAGTACGAGAAATCCAAACATTTAGAAACATTGTTGGTGATGGCTGGTCAGTTTACTAAAGCAACAAAATTACAGTTAAAAAATGAAGAAGAAGAAGAAAACGAAATATGACATAGAATGGTTTTCTTATTTCTCCTTACAGTATCATCCTTGAATCAAATGTAAAGGTCATGAGAATAAAGGAAATGATCAACAATCTAGGAAGCTTCTGATTGTCAAACAAATTATCCTTGTCGGAGGAAATGTAAAGAGAACAGTGTGCAGAATATAAGTATCAAAGTTAGGTTGTTAAGGGGTTAAACTGTAATAACGTTTGCAAGATGGTGCTTGTGTAACCCGTAAAAACGAGTAAAGTGAACTTGTAACTTGTTATTAAGGCTATGGTAAGGGATTAATTACTACGGTATGTAAATAATGTTGATAATTAAATTATTTTTTTGGCTACCTTTTTATTGTCTTGCCTTACTTTTCCCTCGCGAAGAAAATGCTTGAGAATAAGCTGAACAACCAAACAAAACAACAACAAAACAAGGCTTACAAACAAGAAACAAACACACAGACAAACAAGACTTCGTGTATCAGGAAAAAAACTGAGTTTCAAAAGGTTTCTGTTAGCCATTGGTGGACAAAATCATTACGTTGATGTACGCCCCACAGGTCATCAAATAATGAAATTTTTAGACAAATCGGATTAGTGATTTTCAATAGAAAGAGCTGGTTGCCGGGACCTCTTAATTGGGGTTATGTCTTCTTGACAAATTGTGAATTGGTGGACAAAATCGTTACGTTGATGTACGCCCCACAGGTCATCAAATAATGAAATTTTTAGACAAATCGGATTAGTGATTTTCAATAGAAAGAGCTGGTTGCCGGGACCTCTTAATTGGGGTTATGTCTTCTTGACAAATTGTGAATTGGTGGACAAAATCGTTACGTTGATGTACGCCCCACAGGTCATCAAATAATGGAATTTTTAGACAAATCGGATTAGTGATTTTCAATAGAAAGAGCTGGTTGCCGGGACCTCTTAATTGGGGTTATGTCTTCTTGACAAATTGTGATGTGAGCTCTATTTGAAATGCAGAGAAATCCTGATTAAGAAGACACGGACTTCAATTTCATTCGCGTTATACAGGCCAGCTGGCCAATCGCTTGGACAGCTTACTAATGCATCCTTCGGTGAACTTTTGGGTAAATCCGCATAACTGGATGTTGCGGCAAGTGCTGATATATGTGCCTTAGTTATTGCCAAACTAATGATAGCTCAGAATCCATACGATTATGACACAGCTAATTTAAGGACCATGACGACACTTAAAGGATAACCTTTTTTCAGATCTCTTGTCACTGATGCCGAGGCTCGCTCTCACATTGATTCATTTATTTAATTTTCTTGAACCGTCCCTTTCTCCAGTCCAAGTGTCCAGTCCTAAGATTTATACCTCAGACAATACCGTGACATAGTGGCCAAGCCTTTAAAAACAACAGATGGCTTGGTTACCTATTACCGGATGACTTACTGCATTGTTTCACTTGGACCTTCCGCTGAATTATTACATGCGCTTGAGATGAATGTATATCGGAAGAGCACTGAATTGCTGTAAGTACCTCGTTATTTTTATTTACTAGGACTTAAGTTTCTCGGTTTTGCTAAAGCTTAGTTTGACTGGACATAGTTGTCCATTTGTAACCTGCTAGTGCGAAACCAAACGAGTTTTAACGCACAGCAGCTGAAAGGTAATACAAAGAAGACCTCATATCAGTCTAATGCCGAATGACGTTTAGACGTTGCAGTTGCCATTTTCCCTTTAGATGCATAAATTTGAATGCACATCGACAATTGTAAGAGAGCAAGTTCTCCTGTTACTGATCGATCGATACTGTTCTCCTTCAAAGTGTGAGAGATTGTTCACGCAATTTATTTATTGAGAAGAGGAGATGCTTGCGCTCCTTTCTACATATTCTGGATATAATATACATATTCTGCATATAATATATGCATGCCAATATGGCTGCCACGCTCTTTAGAGCTCTTGCAGTTTTCTATATTTTTACCTTCATAACTATGATAACAGTCGAAAGAGCTTATCGAAATCAATCTTTAACATCAAGATGCATTAGTTGGATGGCTAGATTTGAGCTGAGAGTATCCCGGTCTCGAAATCTCCGGGTAAGAAGGGCTATGGTGAAATGGGACAGTCGAGGCATGGTCTTCCTGGCCGCCCCTGAGAAGTTTGTTGTGCTCGACATTACTGTTAATATGGATGTCCATCCACATCCTGGACCTGAAGAAGTGGATAATGACCACGGTAAACGAAAACAGAGCTCCAACTCCTCGGACTCTGCTTGTCAACCTGCAATTGGGTCAGTCAGAATCCATTGCTCTCACAATCGTGACAGGCTACTTTCGCTGAGACGTTCGGCGGGCCGACCTGCGCCTCATGTTTTCGATACCCTTAAATCCCTGGGAATTCTGAAATACAGAGGTCCGGGATTACGAAGATTGGGGAAAATTACTAAAAATATCTCTGCATCGCAACACTCCGACAGATGTCGACCCATTGAAGTTGTTAAAACCCGGCGGTTTGCTAGACCTTATCGCTTCCAAGATCCCGCTAAGAACAGATATCTTACAGCTATTCCTCGAGAGCCTACTAAATCATCTACCGATTGCTCGGAGTTTGCCGTTCCCAAGTGTATGTTCATCAATATTTGCAGTCTCGCAAAAACTAAGAACAAAGTGCGTGCGGCGGTTGGACTTGAGGCTGACTTGCGATCTAAAGATATTGATGTTTGTGTCGTATCGGAAACACACCTCAAACCGGCACAACCGGATGCGATTGTAAATATTGAGAACTATTCCATCTTTCGTAGAGACAGAAATTGGAATGGCAGAGATATGCGCAATAAGGGTGGGATTGCTATATACATCAGGAACAATCTTGCAGTAGAGGATGTTTACCGCTCTAGTCTTTATGAATTAATTTGTATAACTCTGCGACTTCCCAAGGGACATCGATTTGTAATATGTGGAATTTATCATCCCCCAAAATTTAATTATGCAGAGATCGATCTAATGAATCATCTTGTAAATACCGTGGATAATATACTAGACAAACATCCACAAACAGTTGTGTTGTGCGGTGGCGATGTCAACAAACTGGATATCAAACGCTTCGAAGAAATGTCTGGTTGGAATGCTCTGGTTAATTTCCCCACCAGAGGGAATTCTTGTTTGGACAACTGTTTCACGAACCGCACGGATCTCTTTTCAAAGTGCTATCCCTTTCACATGCTCTCCAAGACGGATCACATGGGAGTTATTTTACCACCCGGTATAAAGCTTCCACCTATCCGCCGTAAAGTATACGTGCGTGACCAAAGGGCTCATAGAAAGCGTGATCTGTATATCGCGTTGGCGAAGGAAAACTGGGATGATATGATACAGGAAACTGATGTCGATGAAGTGGTTGGTAGGCTCGAAAATACCATCCTAGGGCACCTGGATAGCTGCATGCCTCTGAAAACAGTGCGCATGTCTTCAAGAGACCCGGGCTGGATGACTCCGCTCGTTCGATCGATGATACGAGCCAAATCACGCATATCACTCAGTAATCTAGACCGTCTTAAAGTTATGAATAAAAGGATCTCTGAAGTGATTTTCAGAAACAGAAGGGACTTTATCGCCTCTATTGGAACTCGGGATTGGTGGAAAAAGTGGATAAAACATCTCAGCGCCGCAAGCCGGTGATTTCTCTATCTCTTGGCCACTACGAACTCAACGCGTTAAATGACTACTTTGGTGACCTATGTACTGACCACGCCTACAGAAAGCCAACACCTCTGGAGATTAGTGAAGATCAGGAAGTCCCAGAAATCTCAGAGCGACAAGTCCTGAATTCTCTTATGCGTATAAAGAAAACAGCAACCGGACCAGATGGCATCCCGTATACTATATGGAAAGACCACGCCGAGCTATTCGTTCCAGTGATCACCTGGATTTGGAATCTGTCTCTTAGAACACACGCCTGGCCTGTCTCTTGAAAAAGTCAGACCTGTACCCCTTGCCGAAGGTTGATATACCTAAGGGAATATCAGACTTCCGCGGAATAAATGTGACACCTGTCATCGCAAGGTGCTTTGAGAAAGCTGTCTTAGGAACACACGCAAGGGAGACCTTCGATGAACATTCTGGGATCTCACAGTTTGCATACATAGAGGGAGGGAGCTGTACCAATGCTCTACTGACTATCCAACATACTGTCAATCAATATCTTGATATCCCAGAGTGCAAAGCGGTACGCCTATTCGCTATGGATTTCAGCAAGGCTTTTGATAGTGTGAAACACGATCTCCTCTCACACAAATTGAAGCAACTCCCCCTAAATCCTTTTATAGTTAACTGGTATCTAAGCTTTTTTGGAAGACAGGCAGCAGAGAGTCATTAGAAATGGGTTTATTGGAAAATGGAAAAGTGTCAACAAAGGTACCACCCAAGGAAGTGTCAGCGGGCCGCACTTGTTCAATGTCTTTCTCAGTGATTTAGAGATACACTTGGACAATAAGAGCGTGCTGGTAAAATATGCAGATGATACAACCATTATCTCGCCTGTGATAGGTGATAATGACAATTCTATCGCACTGATTAATCAGTTTTCCCAGTGGTCTAGAAGTAATGGTATGTGTAGCAATCCATCTAAGTGCAAGGAAATCATTTTCCGCAAGAAAGGTTGTACAATAGAGTTTCCGATGGTGTCTGGAATACCACAGACAAAAAGAGCTTACTATTTTAGGGGTAACATTTCAGGAAGACAGTAGGTTCATAA